GATATTCCACTTTCCCGTGGTAGACCCAAACAACCAGTTCCTGATGATCTCATGCAGGCCATTCTCAATTTATTCGAACAACATGGGCGACATGGTATCATCCCCACTTACCTTAGGCTTAATAAAGATATAGCATTCGCCCATGAGCATGAACAAGATTTTGTTCGAATGAAAGATGGCCTGCTTCCAGTTATGAGCTCAACACAGGACTGGTTTCAGAATGTGCAACGTGACAAGCCTCTCAATCTTATCTCTAAAGAAATCCCCGCTGACATTAATCAAGATGATAACCCTACTCCATATGCTATAAATTTACAAAATATCAAATATCTTCCTCTCCCTCTACCTCAGGCTCCATCAAGGCATATGGTCGAAAAGGCTTTTATCATTCTTGGATTAACACGTCCACGGGGACCCAAGAGACCTAAAGGGAGGACAAGATACGAGGCTTTACTTCCAAATCAAATCTGGCACGTTGACATTCACTTTCTCAATAAACGCAGAAGTGAATTATTGTATGGAGTAATAGATGATTGTACCAGAATGGTTTTGGAGTGGCAGCATCTCTCCTCCAAACATGCAAATCAGACCGTTAAGGTAATTGAGCGGGCCATAAAACGTTTTGGTCCCCCTCATACCATATGGTCTGATAATGGAGGAGAGAATAGAGGTGAATTCCTACAAGCGATGAGATGCAAAGGAATTCGAAATGTCTATATTGTGCCACATTGCCCTTACCAAAACGGTAAGATTGAGCGATTGTGGCCCAATATAGAAAACCGCAATCTAACATGGAGTAAAATTCAGAGTTGGGTCAATTCCTATAGCTCCAAGCCCCATGCCGCACTACCGACACGTCTTCTCAATGGAAGGAAAATCAATTATAGTCCAAATGAATTATGGATGAAGGGGCCCATTTGGAGACCAGGAATGCCTGCCAAATGGGTCGTTGATGGAGTTACCCAAGACTTTCTCCCAGGATCAGTACATGCTAGAGAAATACCAGAACTCCAAGATGAGGAAGAAGAAATCGATAATAAAGATGGTAAAAAAGAGAAGGAGGGACAAAGTGAAGAATATGAAGGTGGATATGAAGAAGAATATGAAATAAATTATGAAGAAGATAATGATGAATAAAATATCACTTTTTATATTTTTGACACGTAAAGTTATCACTTTTCTGTCAAACTGTTTTTATCGTTTCCGTATCTAACACGCACCAAAGTATTTGAGCTTGTGGAATGCTTTTTTTTATTGCTTGAGCTATCTGTGGAGCACAGTCCATGCTAATGTATTCTGGCTCAATTGTTACCCATCTGAGATAGGCGCACACGCAAACTTGAATGTTTTGATAAGTGTCTGGTTGACAAAAGAAATATAAAAAAGGGAAAATGTGAAAATCTTTGATTTTGCCAGTAAATGCATACAATGGAATGTTTGATCGCAACAATTTATAGGTGCTGTCTATATGAAATGTCTTGATACTATGCGCATAAGCTTTGCCTTCAAAAGGCGCGTAATAGAAACACATATTATTGTCTGAGACTTCAAATGCAATGAGATCATCTGGAGATTCTTCTTGTACTGTCTGAACAAAGATTTGCAATGACACAACATCGTCAGGAGAATATCTAGTTTGAAGAGCATGTATTCTCTCTGCAAATCGTTTGATTGCACGTGGTTTTTGAGCGTACATCTCTGGAATGGACGGACCTGTAAGAGGAATTTCAAGATCTTTGAATGCATTTAGCTGTGCTATCGCTCTTTGATTGTCATCTGTTTGGAAGTAATGTTCTAAATATTTGCGATAAAAGACAGACGAATATTGACTTTTGTCATTTGAGGCGGAATGATCATGTTCTTCAACTATTTTGATTAGTTTGTATTTATTTTGATCCAAGATTGCAACATTAAAATGTGCAGGACATTTTGGATATTTGCAGTGGAATGAAATCTGAGATCTTTCTTTCCTGACACGTTCACCATATCCATACTGTGCTTGTATTTCTTGTTTAACTCCAAATTTACAAAGATCCATAACAGTAAAGATAGTTTCTTCTTCTAATTCCATTTGAAATTGAAATGAAAATTAAAAATTCAGAAATTTGAATAGATTTAGTCTGTAATTAAATGAGAATAGCAGTTTGTTCGTCATTGTTTGAGGCAAGAGTATTATAGGAATATTATATGATGGATTTGAGTTGCATATAAAGAGTGCAAAAGGATAAAGAGAGAAATTTTGTTAGATTAAATTATTAAATTTTAATTCTTTATTTTTTAGGATTGTTAGCTTTGTAAGATTGCTTTCTCACAAGAGAAAACAAGCATAAGGTTTAAGCTGTATGTATTAAAGTTATAAATATTTGATTTTAAAAAAATCAAGATTTTAAACTTTAAAGGTATTAATTATGATTATCTTTCTTTAGCTTTGCATGCTGTATGCTACTTTTGGAAACTGCTCTATTGTATTAGAATGTTTTTAAATTTTGCACCTAAAAATGCGTAATATTAAAAATTAAGGTATTAATTATGATTATCTTTCTTTAGCTTTGCATGCTGTATGCTACTTTTGTCTTTGAGACATTCCATGATTTAAGTTAAGAAGCTTTAAAAAAAATGCAAAAAAATTGAATACTTTACTGGCTGGGCAAATTTGTCGCCGCCCCTTTTTCATCTGTTGCAGAATTTAATGACTATTATGCTAATAATAAAAAATTATTTGAAGAATTGACAACGTGTAAATTGAATAAAATGTTTAAAGTTGATGGATTCAAAATTTCAAAAATAAAAGGAGTGGTTAGTTTGAAATCTATTCCTCAATCAAGAATCACCTCATTAATGAAAATAGATGATTTAACAAAAAGAATAGAAATTATTGAAGAGCGAATAAATCAAATTATTGATTTCATAAATCATGACTCGTTGAGCCCGGGTCCTTAAAGCCCATCACTGAGTTCAAGGTTATATTCATCAAATATTTCATTATTAAATGCAACTTCTGCTAGTTTATTTATTTTTTCAATACGATCATTTGAAAGTCTATCGTTTAATTTTTTCTGAAGTTTTTCATTTTCTAGTTCTGAAACTTTATTTGGATGATATGTAAATTCATGAAATTCTTTGGCCTCGGTTTTGATCATTAATTTACAAAGAACTTTTGTGGTTGGAATTCGTTTGAACCATTTATTAGTTATATTCGTTATATATTCAATATCTGGAATTAATTCCCAAATTTTTGCATTTTCAATTAATTTATTATCAAATGCAAAAGCAATGGGTTTAATATTATGTTTACCTTTATAATATAAACTTTCTACATAATCATCGAAATAAACATCTACTTGTTTAACATTTTCAAGAATTGGTGAAAGAGCATCCATTAATTGATTGACGGTTACGAATCTTGATCCACTCATTTTCTTACGAATTAAAAAAATAAATTATTCAAAAATGTAAGACATGAATTTTTAAAGTTTATTTTTTTTATTTCATTATGTATGGGCTGGTGTAAATGTCTTACAATTTTGAAAATTTTTTAAATCTTGATTTATTCAAAAACGTAAGAATAAAAACCGTAAGAATCATACATTTTTTACTTCATATGTTAAAAAAAATGATACAAAATCGTTCAATATTGTATGAATTCTTACGTTTACAAAAAAAGTCACACAACCCTTCAACATATACTACTTTCATTATATGAAACTGTATAAACTTTATCTTTATCTTTGCATCTTTCATCACTTCCAATATATTTATATTTCAATTTTGATTTATTGGTTTCATATTCATTAACGTTTAATAATTCACAGTCTTCCTTTTTAAATAAATGTTTTATGTATTCAGGATTAACAATTCTATAATATTGCTTCCCTTTAAATCTTTGAATATAAACAGGAACACCATCCTCTAAAATTCGATAATCTATTTTATCTGGTTTTACTTGTTGGGTCATTTATGTAAGAATAAAAAAATAACTTATTTTAAAAATAATATGTTAAAATAATGATACAAAATCGCTCGATATTGTATGAATTCTTACGTTTACAAAAAAAGTCACACAACCCGTCCTATCCTACTACTAGAATTTGGTTTAGAAACTATAGTACAATTTCAAGCTTTAAGTATTTAATTTTATTGACTCAATAAAACAACTCCTGTAGCTTGGACTTTTTTTATAGATTCGAAAGAAATCAAATTTCAAATTCGAAATCATTTTATAAGAAGTCTACATTCCAAAAATAAGGCTTACTGAAATTCTTAAAAGAGAAGAATTCGGGGTTTAAAAAGAGCAAGTAATATTTGATATATTGTTTTGAGCATTGAGGGAAAATCCAATTCATTTAACTTGTATACTCTATTTGCATCATTGATTTTTTCCATTCTCGACTTATTATTCAAAGTTGATAAAACATCATCGAATATCTTATGGGAAATTGGTTTTTTAAGCTAGGGATAGTCAAAAGAATTGGTCAAGAAGATAGTGTGAGGAACTTCCAGCTTCAGAACAATATAATCTTTTTCCAATTCCTTATTAAAATTGGACCACATGTTCTCAGTAAAAATCGATTTTACGATATATCGTAAAATGGACTAGAGACGTTATAAATATATTTCCCAACTTAGATATTAACTAAATCCTTGTCATGTTGATCATGGATCGAAAATAAAAATCGGTTAATTTTCACCTTGCTAATGCAACGATAAATATGTTATTTGTTCAATTAAACAATCATTGTTAACTTTCAATAGAAAAAAAAATTCTGATCGCAATTCAATAGTATCATTATAAATAGAATAATCAATTTTAAATGCTTTTTAATAAAAATTTAAAATATTACGGATTCAAATCATTTCAATTGATTGAATATAAATTTCCATAATATCGCAGAATTTAAAACCACCACTGAAGAGTAGAATATATGGATTGAATTATGCCTCAATTATTTGATAGAATATTTTGAAATTGTTGGCTAATCATTGCTTCATTTTCAATTGATATGAGTTTTATCCCAGAAGGTGAAGATTCGCCGATTGCCGAAACAATTGGTAATTACAAACTCATTAGAGAAATTGGGGTTGGTTCATTTTCAATCGTTTGGTTAGCGCGCAACTTAAAAGCAGATCTAGATGTCGCCATTAAAATCATTCCAAAGAAAAGGATTGCAACCGATGTAAACATTATCCGTTTTGAACGTGAAACAAACTTTTTAAAGCAACTTGATCACCCATTAATTGCTCAATATTTTGAGCATCTTGAAGATGATAATTATCACTACTTTGTAATGGAATTAGCACCAAATGGTGATCTCTTAGCTGCTGTCAATCGTCAAGGAAAAATGGATGAACAACAGGCAAAATTGTATTTCGCCCAGTTAATTGTTGTTCTTGACTATTTGCATAACGATATGCTTGTAGCGCACAGAGATCTCAAGGCAGAGAATGTTCTTCTCGACAAAAACGAAAATATCAGATTAATTGATTTTGGCTTCAGCCGTTCATTCACAGCTGATGATCCTAACCTCAATACAACATGCGGATCCCCTGCGTACGTTCCCCCTGAAATGATCAAGAGAGAAGCTTACACCGTTCAAGCTGACGTTTGGAGTACTGGCATTCTGTTGTATTCCCTTGTTGTTGGAAGGCTTCCGTTCGAGGATTCCGAAAATAACGTTCAAAAGATCCTCCAGAAGATCGCTTATTCAGAACCTTTTTATCCAAGATTCATTTCTCCAGATCTGAAAGACTTATTAACAAAAATGTTAACAAAGCAACCAGATAAAAGAATTACCATAGCAGAAATCAGAAAACATCCATGGTTCCCGGCTCCTATCGCTGCCGAACTTGAAAAGTTCACAAAGAACAACTCTGGCTCATCTCAATCATTAGAATCATTTAAGTATGATGAAGACGTAGCAAAAGAGTGCTCAAATTGTGGAATTGATACAACTACTCTTCAACAAAGATTAATTGCTCATGAATTCGATTCAGAAACAGCAATTTACTTAATGTACCGTAAAAGAAAGATTACAAACTTACTCCATGGCGTTATTAAGCAAGGAGTAAGTAATGAAGTCAAAAGATCCACTTCTCTTACGAATGTTACGGGAAATAGCAATACACCTAAGATTGTTAGGAGGAAACTTCCTTCCCGCAGTACTACACAGCCAATCCATTAATTGTTAATTGTTTTATATTGTTTAATATAAATCTTTATTTTAATTTTATTTTGATTTCAATATTATTTAGCCAAGGCAAATTTATTTGTTAATTAATTAACTTTGAATTTTGTGAATTATTTTTGTTTTGTATCTGTTTTAGTGAAATCGATACATCTTCCGAAGATTATATAAGTTTGTTACGAAATCAAATTAGTGCACATTTAAATACAACTAAAATCAAAAGAATTAGAAGTGAATAGAAAAACTATTTAAGTTCTGAGATATAGCTAACTTGTACTCTATGATGTTAAAGTTGTAAAGCTAAAATACTGATATTGAGAGTGGAAGCACTTCTAAATAATCAAATGACTTTTTATGATATATATATCTGCAAAGTTTCTGAGAGCGAGAGTGAAAGAGAGAGATAAAGAACACCTACATAATGAAAATGTATTGGAAAATTTTGATGTTGGAAAAAAAAAAATTCAAAATACAAACAATTTTATTCAGCGTTTTCTTAAGAGAGAGCGTTAAAATATTGATTTAAACATGAAAATAGTTTTGAATTAGGTTTTGGGAACCTTTTACTGTATCTGTTCGAACTAAGTCGGATTCCGAGCCAATATCCTTTCCTTTCTTGAGAGAATCTATTGCTTTTGTCACGTTTCCTGCATTGTTATGAATTGTTGCAAGAATTTGTGGAATTGAATATTTATTATCAAAAAATTCTTGAATTCTTGTAATCATTCGGTATATTTCGATCTCTCGACCAACTTCTTTACCATTTGTTGAGTAATTTTCAAGGTTTTTTTGTTTTGGTTCTTTTTTAGGTTTTTTAGGTTGTAGAAGTGATGTTTTCTTGGCAGTTTTAACTGGTTTTGGTTCTTCCACTTCAGGGATTGATTGCACGCTTTCTTCTTCTGTAGATTCGCTTAAATAATGAGGAATTTGTTCATTATCACTTACAGGGGAAGGAATGTCAGGAGCATTAAACGAAGAGTCAGTAGTAGGCTCGCTTGGAGTTTCAACGGTTTTTTCTTCTTGTTTCGAAGATTCTGTTTTATCTTTTTTCTTTTCATTATTTGTATCTGGTTTTGGCGTAACCTTAATATTTTCATCTTTTTCTTTCGCTGGTTCTTCTGGATTGTGCTTTTTTACAGTCGAAATTAACAAATTATCTACTGTATTGAGACTTTCTAGTAATTTTTCAATTAACTTTGATTTGGAAGAATATCTAGATGCGTTGTTTTCTTCTTTTTTCTGTTGAGTTGGCTTTGATTTTTTATCTTCGTTTTTTTGAGGAGGTACTTCTTTTTTAGTAATAGCATTATCTGTTTCTTTAGAAACTGGCTTAGATTGCTGATTTAATAAGTTAGAATTTAGTTTTTGAGTTGAAGTAGTTGAAATTGTTGGATTTTCTTCAGCATCTGTTGTAGAATAATCATCTTCATCATTTTCGATTTGAATTCCTCCCGTTGCTTCAAGTCCTAGTATATTTAATTCATTCATCAGAAGATGTGAAATTCTGAAGTTTACATCACTAATCATGAAGTTTAACATCCAATCACTTAAACGAAATATCTTGTGATCACAAGGCATGTTGTGTCTTTTACACTAAAAAAAATTATACTTTTTAAATTTTTTAATGTCCGAACAAGATGAGAATCCTGATCAATATATTGAATTGCGAAGTATCTACAAATACTACATCGATTCATATAATGCTTTGTATCAGCTAAAAACCGAAAAAGATGAAGATTTAAGTTCTATTTACAATCAACTCAAAACAGAACTTATTGAAACAAGGAAATATTCTCCTGTTAAGATTGTAAGAGATGTTTTAAGTATCATTCCGTATAATAATCGCTATGCAAAGTCATATTTATCTCTTGCCAAACTCATTTCTGATGATTACCATGTCAAAGAGGTCAACAATGTAGAGCCAATTTCAAACTTCCTGTTCTATAAGGAATATGGAATTAAAATAGACAAAGCCTATGATTTCAAAGAATTTAAATCAGAAAACCTCGAAATTCATAAAGAAGACACAATTTACAAAGTAATTATGAACAACGACATAAAAAGATTCATTCTATTCACTGAAAGTGACGAATTTGATAGATTTCAAGTACTCAAAAGCAAATTATATCCTGATTCTAAGAAAGGATATTCATTACTTGAATTATGTTGTTACCACGGAGCAGTTGATTGTTTTAAGTTATTAAGAACGGAATTTAACTCAGAAATAACTCAAAAATGTCTCCGTTTATCATTTTTAGGCGGAAATCCAGAGATCATGAGTGAATGTTTGAAACATCACAAACCAAAAGAAAAATGCATGAAATATGCAATTATTTCACATAATATTGATTTTGTTACATTCTTGATGAATGAATACAAAATGAGGATCGATTCATACTATTGTGGAATGTATAATAATCTTGAATCATTTTTTGTTGATTTCGATCAAAAAAATAATTTTCGCAAGTGCTTTGTTTATTCTACTATGTTTGATCTTCCATATCTTTGTGAATATTTCCTTTCACTTGGTGCCGATATCAATGACAAAGATGAAGATGGAAGGACCTCTCTTCATATTGCTGCTTATTATGATTTTAAAGAAATAGCCGAACTTCTTATTTCACATGGAGCAAATATCGATGAAAAAGATAATGATGAAAAACTCCCAATTCATTATGCAGCATATTTTAATAGTAAAGAAACAGCTGAACTCCTTATTTCGCATTCAGCAATTATCAATGGAAAAGATAAATATGGAGAAACCACTATTCATAAAGTAGCATATTTTAATAGCAAAGAAACTGCCGAATTTCTTATTTTACATGGTGCAAATATTGATGAAAAAAATGAAGAAGGAAATACCGTTCTTCATATTGCAGCATTTCATAATAATAAAGAAACAGCCGAAGTTCTCATTTTACATGGTGCTGATATCGATGCAATAGATGAAGATGGAAGAACCGCTCTTCATATTGCAGCATTTCATAATTGCAAAGAAACAGCCGAATTTCTAATTTCACATGGTGCTGATATCTATGCAATAGATGATAAATTTGGAGATGCCCCTCTTCATCTGGCAGCACATAAAAATAGTAAAGAAATAGTTGAGAATCTTATTTTACACGGTGCAAATATCAATGAAAAAAATAAATTGGGAAATACCGCTCTTCAGAAGGCAGCAATGTATAATAGTTTAGAAGCAGATGAAATTCTTATTTTACGCGGAGCAAATATCAATGGAAAAAATAAAAATGGAAGAACTGCTCTTCATTATGCAGCAATTCATAATTGCAAAGAAACAGCCGAATTTCTAATTTCACATGGTGCGGCTATCAATGTCAAAGATAAATCTGGAAAAACCCTTCTCCAAGCTGCAAGATGTGAACATAGTAATGAAACAGCCGAACTACTTATTGCTAATGGTGAAAAATAATAAAAGAGTAAACCTATTTATAGTGTAATAGTTTAAATACTATCATCTAGTCAACAATAATGCACTTTGTATCTTTTAATTTTTATTTCTTATTAAATAAGGTCGTCAAAACAAAGTGCGGAAATTAAAAACCGCAGTTTGAGTACTTTCTGAGGGTCTGTTCGTCAGAAAGTATACATTTTTAAACTTTCTGACACTAAAAAATTTTTGGTCCTTTCAAAGTTTTTGACAATGTCAAAAAATATACATCGAGGTTCTCAATTTTCCTCTCAAACGGCGGTTTTTTAAAAACGCTCAATTTTTCATCGACCTTATTTCCAATATCAGAGATTTTTTTTGGATTTTCTCAGTTATATGACTCATGAAATAGGTGAATTTTGACCTTAAAACTATGAATTTTAATGTTTCTTAGAAACATTCGAAAAAAACAGAATATGTTATAAATATTTATTCATTTTAAAAATATTGTGTTTACTTAATTCTAAAGCAAATCAAAATTATAAATGCTAGCACGATGCAAAACAAAAACAAAAATGCATAATAACTCAACTTTTCATTGCCCGCAGGCGTTTTTTCATTGTTATCTTTGGCATTAATGTCTTCTCCATGTGAAATAAGGATTTTTACATCTTTTAATTTGCATTTCATAGCTGCTATGTGTAGTGGTGTTATGCCTTCACTATCTTTTGCATTATAATTTGCTCCATGAGAAATGAGTAACTTTATTGTTTGTTCACGATAATTTTCAAATGCATAATGAAGAGCAGTTTTTCCATATTTGTCTGCAATATTTACATTAATATCGTGCAAAATAAGATATTTAACCACCTCACTTCTGTTATCTTTTACAGCATAATGAAGTGCACTTTTCTGATCGTTATCTGTTGTATTGATATCTGCACCATGAGAAATCAGATAATCAATTATTTCGGTTTTACAATGAGTTGATGCAATTAGAAAAATAGTTTTTCCTTCATTATCTTTGGAATCTATTTCAGCACCATGTGTGAGGAGAATATCAATAACTTTACAAGAACTTGCATAATGAAGGGCACTTCTTCCTGATCCATCCTTTTCATTAGAATTGGCACCATGATTAATAAGCATCTCTATAGTATCTTCAAAATTGTTTTCCGAGGCATAATGAAGTGCCGTTCTACCTCCATTATCTTTAGCTTTGATATCAGCATCTTTTGAAATCAAAAATTCAACAATTTCTTTAATTCTATTTTCTCCTTTTTCGGCTTCATTAGTGTCATTAATCACTACATAATGAAGAGGTGTTTTGTTTTCGTTATCTTTTTCATTTACATTTGCATTGTTTGATATCAGATATTTTATCAAATCAAAGTTTTTATTCTGTGCTGCTAAGTGAAGAGGAGTTCTGCCATGAAAACCATCTTTTACATTAATTTCAGCATCATTTTCGATGAGTAATTCAGCTAATGATTTGTAGTTTTTTTCAACTGCATAATGAAGCGCTGTTTTTCTATAATCATCGCGTAAATTTACATCAACACCTAACGCAATAAGTGTTTCCGAAACATATTTTTCGTTCTCAATAACAGAAATATGAAGTGTATTTATGGGTTTTTGATATTCTTGATTATTTTCAGACTCTGTATAATCTTCATATTGAGAATTTCAATTTTGATATTGATAATTTCGATTTTCATTTTGAGAATTTCGAGATAAATTATTTCGAATATTACGAAGGGCCCAGTCAATCGGTGTCAATTGTTTCGAATCCATTTCATCAGCTTTGGCACCATTTGAAATGAGTATCTTTATTGTTTCATTACTATTGTTTGATGCAGCATAATGAAGAGGTGTGCTCCAATGAAAATCTTTTGCATTGACATCAGCTTTATTTGAAATAAGAAAATCAGCAATTTCATAATTATTAAAAATTGCAGCCACATGAAGTGCAGTAATTTTTTTGTAATTCTGATTAGTTTCTTTGATATTTGCTCCATGAGAAAGAAAATATCCGCAGATAGATTTGATAAAGAAGCAAGGTGAGTAGATGAAACAATTATTAATATCTTTTGTTCGATCAAAATATAAAATAAAGGCTTGAAGGTTTTGATATTCACCGCAATCCATTAAATTAATATCTATGTGATATTCATTCATCAAAAATGCAACAAGATCTATATCATGTGAAATAATTGCGAATTTCATGCATTCTGCATCTGGTTTCACTTTTTTTGAACATTCATTCATAATGTATTTATTTTTGCTCAAAAATGAAAAATGAAGGCATTGTGAAGTGATACATCTATCGAATTTTTCATAGCAAGCTTTAAAACAATTAACTGCTCCGTGATAGCAGCATAATTCAAGTAACGAATAAGGTTTTAATCTAATGAAATAACCTTCTTTTAAGTCCGGATAGAAGGGGCTTCTTGCTAATTCATTCAATTCAGGCGAATATCTTCTCATAAATGATTCAAATAACTCTTTGTTATCATTAACAAGTGCTTTATAGAGTTTGTTTCGATCTTGAATATCCACTATAATAGGATCGTTATGAACATCGTCAATGTCAATTCCGTATTCTTTGCTCATGAAGTACTTAAATAGTTTATTGATCCATTTGAAATCTTTGATTTTAAATTCATCTATAACTGTCTTGAAGATCCTTAAAAACAATCTGAAATTTTTATTATTGTAAATCGCTGCTGTTTGAATGGCTTTGAGAATCTGAATGGGCGGATAAATTTTCTGTCGAATTGATTGCAGAATTCTATCTTCATCACAAGCATTGATCTTGTACAACGTATTGAAGAAATCAATCTGACTGCGTGATAATGAATTTAACTCTTCGTAAGGACTTGTCTTTATCATAATGTTCTCGCTTGTTCCTAAAAATACAATCTGCCGATAAAAAAACAGTTATGTGAATTTTTTTTTATTTGAAAGACCGTCTTATCATTTTCAATTGTTTTCAAAAAAGTATTCAATTTACAAATTGACCATTTTAACTCATATTTATTTAAGTTGGATGGAAGACAAAATTTTGAGAGTATAGGGATCCAGACAAACGCTTATTAAAACTGTCATAAATCTTATTTTTTTCAGAATGATGTGTAATATCTACATTTCGACGCACTAGATAGCTATCTTGTTTGGAGAAATGACGGATAGGATCTCCAAAATTCAAAATATTACCTTCTCCAATTTTGAAAAATTTACATTTAAATCTATCTCAATCTATTCAAAAACTAATTGAGATTGGAATCTGAAAGACAGCATCCTTCGATTATTTCCATTTTTAATCAATGTAATTCATTCGTTGGAATTGGAATTTGTAAGAAAGTCATAATTAATACGACATTGTATGTTAATAGTTCATGTGCAAGAGTTCTAACTTTATCAAGAGAAGAAACAAGTTCTGATTTCAATATCTTGGTTTTATGATAATATGATACAAATAAGCCATTTTCTGCATACAAAGACAAACAAAAAAATCGAAGAAAATTTGAGTATATAGAGATAAGATATTTAACAACTTCAAGATGATATTTGAGTAGGTGCCAAAAGTGCTTACTCTTAAACAACCGTCGGATTTCCGGGTGAAATCGTGACACACTTTCGTCTTTCGTAGGCAGTGGTGGTTGTTACAAAAGGTAACTTCGAATGTAGCGTGAAATCTGCAAAAAAAATTCTGAAATTTAAATGGAGAACACAAAAATTGAATAGTTTACGTCAATAAAAAAGAGAAAAATGAAGCCAATGTGTCTCGAACCTAAGACTTAGAGCAGCAATCCCACTGTTTATCAAATTACACTACATGCATCTCTCACCTCAGTGAATGAGATCAACTATATGATAACTTTTTCCCCATTATATTCTTGTGGAAAAGTGACAAATAGCAACTTTGACCCTCTCTCGATGATATTTTTCTGATGCAAAGATGAGCGGAGTTTGTCCATTTTTTTAACAACATCAAGATTTATAATTACCATTCTCTATAAGAGATTTAATTAGTTAGATATTTTTTAAAATTTTTGACTAGTCAAAAAAGAAAAAAAAAAGATAAAAGATAATGACGAGATATGATGTCCGTATTGTTGATATAGATTCAGAGAAGCCACCAGAGGCCAAAAGATGTTTTCTACTTTCCGATGTGCATGGAAGAGCAGATGATATCGATACAAAATATTTTAATTATGATTTCGATTTTCTCTTTTTTGCAGGCGATATGTCAAATAAAAGTAAATATCACGAAATTAAAAGTTTCAAGAAGTGGATTAATAAAATGAAAGCAAAATATAAAATTGTAGTTGCAGGAAATCACGACCTTGTTTTTGATAGAGAAGAGTTCAATGACATAATAATTGGCAATCACACTGCTCAAGAAATACGTGATTTGATTCTCAAGGATAAAAATATCATATATCTAGAACATGAAGAAATAACAATTGAAGGGATAAAAATCTTTGGTACTCCTCTCTCCAATATTCGAATACATCAGGCTTTTAAAGAACCCTATGAAGATGAAAACGATCCACATGAAGAATATTTATTCTTTTCAATTCCAGATTCAACAAATATTGTTTTATCTCATGGAGTCATGAAAGGTTATTTAGATAAAGAGCCAAATTCAAGATGCAAAGGAAGTTATGGTCTCCGCCACGCAATTGATCGTGTCAAACCAGATTTATTGATATGCGGTCATATGCATGGCTGTCAAGGTCACACCACTCATAATAATACCACTGTGATTCTTCCTTCATTTTGTAAGCGTGATAAATTTGGTGAAGAAACAAATAACCCCTATATTATTGATATAATTCCAAAATTATCATTAAGGATGTCAATTTGGAAGAAAAGTGAGAAAATTCCTAAAATGCTAAAAATGAATTTTCCAAACGTATTTTTTTATCTCATTTTTTTGATTTTGAAAAAAATTTGGAGAGAAGAACTCTTCGTTTTTGAATTTTATCACGATGGTTTTAAAGTATATTAGACACATGTATTGGTATTACTATTTTTGTATATTTTGAGAGAAAATCCCTAAAAAGTGAGAAAATCTAAGACGGTTTGAGAAAATATATAAACTATTGAAAATTTGAATTAAACTTCTAATTTGGAAAAAAGAAATTTGGAAAGAAGAAAATTCAAAAATCGAGATTTAGACTTAGCATCAAATGGAGAACAAAATGTTTCTTCATATGAAGGAAAAAAATTTTCTTGTGAAGAAATAGAGTTTTTAAAATTTTATTGTATGTAATGAAATAAACAAATATTAAAATTATTTTTTGATAACAAGAAAATTCCCAATAGAAAATATTTGAGAGAAAGAAAAAAAGAAAATTGAAAAATATTACTCTCCTTTATATTTCATGAGATTTTAAATTTATTCTCATAAAATTGACAATTTTATACGTTTCGATGAAAATAAGTGATTTTGGTTGAAATAGAAATTATTATTTGCTTACAGCTATCAAATCGATTTTTGCTATTTTGATTAAAATTTGTTAATCAAATTAATAAATTTTTTCTAAATATCTTAAATATCTGGATCACTCACATATACAATGAATTGAACGATAAAAATAATACAAACTCAACTAAGTTTCCTGTCTTTCAACTAAAAAAAATTATGCAAATTAAATTAAATTGTTTATTCAAATATAAAACAAAGATGAAGTAATTACAGTTATCATAAACTTTATGAATAACTCTGTAATTGGTTCAGATTTTCGTAAAAATATTTTTATTAATATCGATAAGAATACGTTTACCTACTATCACAACATATCGATAAACAAGAGTAGAGTGATTTTTATCATCGAAACTTTTTAAAAGCTGTAAGCTGGAAGGAAAAATCTTGTTTTTTCTGAGTTAGTTGTAGAACTATTGATGTACGAGTTATCATTGTGATGTAGAAGGATGTCAATGTACTGACTGAAGGATATGAAGTGAATTGAATTTCATTGAATTTCAATTTGATCAAAATTTGTTGAAATGATATGAATGTGTCAACATCTGTATCACTCTCTTTCACTCCTTCCCTATTCTTTCGAGAACGAAGCTAGCTCAGCTTTCGCTGAGCGAATTGACACTTTTGATGCCCTAAACGTACATGCTCTCAAATTTATCGAAAAAAATTATACCACCTAAACTAGTATATTCTTATTTTAAATATGATATTATCCTTAGAATCCACACTAGAATATATTTAAATCAACTTTTAAAAAAGTTCGAATCCTGCGCGTCTCACTTTTTAAATTTTCGAAAAGGAAAATTATATTCTCCTAAAATGAAAACAATTTTCCGAATTGACATCCTTATTATAATTTGTTTATTTATCACAAGCATTGATCTTGTTTAATGAATTTAACTCGATCTGAGGGCTCAACTAAATGGCCCACCATCCCTTTCAATGTAACTAAAAGAACTCAAGATTATTTCTTTCTGCAGCATAGTGAAGAGAAGTTTTTTCTCAACAATCTCTTGCATTAATATCTGCATCATGGGAAATCAGAATTTCTAATATTTCATCTCTGTTGTATTCAGCAGCAAAATGAAGAGCAGTTTCCCCAGATATTTGACTTTGATCTTTGATAAGAAATCTTAATGATGAACTTGTTTATTTTCATGAATATAGCATGTTCATAATAAGCTCATTAGTTAAAACTTAAGATTATTTTTTTTCTATATTATTATAAAACATATTAATCAAATACAATCCACATTAAATTTAATTTTATTTAAGGGTGCATTTACCACTTTCTGACACACTCTCAAAAAGAGATATACGGGCGTGAAGAGGCATAGAAAACAAAACCTTAAACAAGAAATTTGAGAGAATGTCAGAAAGTGGTAAGTGCATCCTTAAATGCACAAAAACTCCGGTCCAAAATTTAAAATTTCGCCTACATCTTTTCAAAGAATTGGGCATTTAATAAATATACCATTTCAAAATTAATAATTATTATTTTTCTAAATATAATTAAATTTTAGCGGAAAACATTAAAAGATTTACCTTTGGCCGATTAAGTGGTCGATATTAGATACGACAGACTTATTAATATTTGCCTTGTGGATGATCTGGTGTATGACATCTCCGATTGCACTTTCTGGGATGATTCTTTCGTAGCAGAAGTACAACAAGAGGTTGAAGTTGAAGAGGCGGTACCACATTGGGCAGTACTGCATGTCGTCAAAGTATTTCTTCACATCCATGACAGATGGGTACTCAGAGAGCGGAGGGAATGGCTCTGTATCAGGGAAATGTGAGTTTGCGTTACGAATACGTAAAGTGGCAACGGCGTAATTCGAATCTAACTCTTTAAGATGCTTTGCAGTTCCGAGCTTTACTTCGCTCTTGAACTTGAGTAGTGTAGGAGATGAACTCTGTAAGAATAAGCCCTGCTGATAGGCTTTCATGGCAGCATCTGATGCTTGGTATGGTTCTGCGTGTTTTTCAGTGACAACAATTGTTGTGAAGTATTCTGTAATTTCGACTTGATATTTGGCTGCGAGTCTGACCATGTATTCGGTCATTTCGTGCTTATAATCTTCGGATTTTTCTGTAGGCTCAGGACGAGAGATTGCCATGCCAACGCACTCCATGCCGAACTCATGAGCAATGTTTCTGTCTAAGTCCATGTTGAATTCTTCGAGAATTTCGACATGATCAACAAAATTCTTTTGTTGAGGTTCACATGAGCAGTGAACAGTAACTTTGCCGGTATATTTATCGATTCTTCCGAAGAGGAACATGATTCTATGGGTCTTATACCCTGTCATGAGTGCTTTTTGTTGGAATGGAAGCAAAATCTTATTTTGTGGGATACGAATAGCGAAAGTGCTAGTAAGAGAGCTGACGCCGAAGATTGGATAGGAACGATCTGCAATGCGGAACATGTCAACTGTGATAGCGTTCTTTGCAAAACCATTTGCGTTTTCAATAACTTTCTTCTTCTCTTCTTCTGTTGCATTGCTGCCCATGATACTATGGCCAATAGCATTAGAAAACGAAACGCCGCTATTAAATTCATTAGAGATCTGTACGCCGTTGTCGATTTTGAGATAAATAAGTGAGTTCAATTTTGAGGCCAAAGATTTATTTGGATTGGAGGCCAAGGCTCTGTTGTATGAATATTCTTTTTTCATTGGACTTGTCATAGCGCTATCGTAATATAAAGTTAATTTATCTGCTGGAACCTTGATTTGTTCAGAAATCTGCATGAGAATTCTTTGGATTGTGTCTGCTCTGTTTATATTTATCTTGAGAATACCACGTGCCCATTGAATACCAATTATAACCATTTACTTTGGAAAATTGAAAAATTTACTTGTCATTTTTTTTTCTTCACATGATTGTTCGATCAAATATCTTTCTCTCAATTATAAATATTGCGAAAATTTATAAGATTTTGAAATGAAACTAAGTATAGTATTGAATTATCCAATTAGATTCGATAAATTTTTCAACAAAATTGATCTTTCTGACTTCATATTTTTGCTCCATTGTTAATAAATACGCAAAGGCTTGGGCACAAGACCTGTAATAAGCTAGAAAGATGTTGAAATTATAAGATTTCAAAAATTATATTTTTATTGAAAACAAATAGATATATTTCATTACAAATTTATCGCCTGTATGATTAAATATGAGTATACTTCTCAATGAAATTAACCATATGATTCTGGGAAAGTGAAATTTTTTGAAATAGATGTTTTAGAGACCAAATAAGGAACTAATTGATCAGGTTTCATAAGCTAGTTAACTTTGGCAGCAACTGAAATATAATCAAAGGAAATTTAATACCCTATATTTCCACCCATGGTCCTAAAATGGGTATTTTCCTCACACAGACACCGTGGTTTTTTGAGCCGGGAAATAAATAGCGCAGACAGTTTCTACATATAGAGACATGCTTATACTTAGAGTTTGACGGGAATCTAAAGTGATTTTTTTCTGCATCGCGAAATCTAATGCAATCTCAAAATCATGAAGAAACTGCGAATCGGAGCGCAATTTTTTAATATGTTAATATATAAAGGTACCCCTACTACTGCAAATGCTTCAAATGAAAATCTAAGAAATCAGATTAATTTGATCACATTAGTATAGTATTGGTCAAACCAAAAACTCATATGTTGATATATAGCCTATAGATATTCATATTATCTACTTTTCATTGAATTACATAAGATTTAATAATCTCATAAATATTCTTTTTAATTTTCCGAATTCCGTGTGCATTTAGATTGCCTATACCTGTATATAATAATTCTAGAATGGTTTGGTTAGATATTAAGTTTTTTAGATTAATATTTTAACATTTTGATAAAACAAGCATTTGTTCCATTTTAGAATCGCCATTGAACTCTGGTTTGACTAACATGATGTTGTATGATCAAATAAATTCTAACTTCATGAGATAAATTTTGAAATTAGAAAATGCGATATCTGACTCAAATATTTATATGAACACATTTAACATTCAATGATAAACTAAAGTACTATACAGCAGATTCGATTTGGCTTATATTTTATATAATCAACTAATAATCCTATAAAATTGTGCTATTCACGTTGCTCAAAGATGTATTGAACATTCACTACTTGTGTATTGATAAAATTAGATATAGATTCTAATGTAAATCGATATTTTGAAAATTCATATATATTTTGTCTTGGTTTGGCATTTGATCGTGTTGAAACCGGAATTGCAATATATATCATCTAAATATATAACTATCAAAATATGAGCTATAGATTTTTAAATTATTCTCCTGAATATGAGTGACTAACATAATTATATTGAATTGAGTAGTAAGAATCTTAAATATTAGAATCTGACGATAATTTATTATAACTGTATAAAGGAACAAGACTATAAATGATGATGAAAATAAAGATTAAATTTAAATCTGAAAATTTGAAAACATTAAGTGTATTGTGCACTCTTGTCGGTACAGTGTCTCATTCCGGGAGACATTGTCACTGCATGTCTCCCAGAATGATATCAAGTTCCCCATTCATAACTTGAATGCGGAACTTTGACCGATAAGAGTGTATTGTGCACTCTTGTCGGTTGAAAGTTCTGCAATCAGAAGAAGATTGTTGAACAATCCGCCATTCCAGGAGGCATGAGCTTGTTATCTCTCCTGAAATGGCACATATTTGATAATTCATGGAGCAGAACTTTGCACGCAATCAGACAAAAGATTGCGACAGAGTAACTGGGAAGACAGCAACTTGAAGCGATAAGCTGCTTGGGTGCTGTCTCCCAGATGCATCTATCGGGCAAAGTCTCAAAGGAGCAGAACTTTGCACGCAATCAGACAAAAGATTGCGACAGAGTAACTGGGAAGACAGCAACTTGAAGCGAAGTTTTGTTTTCGAGTCTTTGGTTAAGAAATCTTAACAAAAAAACAAAGAAAAAAATCAGATAAAGTTGTCAATAACTTCATCAGTTAATGCTCACCTATGGGAGGTGTTTTGCGGGAGCTGGGAGTATCTTGGTGAGTACTCAGGAGGCCAAGAAGGGCACCCCAACCGACATTATCCTGATGAATTCAGTTGTCAACCATTCTGAAAACCACCGAAACCGTCGTGTGTAGAGAAATTGTTTAAATTTATTTTTTCAGATTTAAATAAAAATAAGAAATGTTTACTATTATGGATTTTGAAATTTTTTTAAATTAAGAGTAGGAGATGAGACAAATTTAAATTTTTAAGAAATATTTGGAAGGGTGTAAGATACGCCAACTTAAATATATTATCAAATGAGAGAAAATCACTCAACAAAAAAACAATTCTTTCAAAAAGTTTGACATTGATCTTTCTAATACATATTTTTGGAAGGGCGTAAGATACGCCAACTTAAAAATATTATCAAATGAGAGAAAATCACTCAACAAAAAAACAATTCTTTCACAAAGTTTGACATTGATCTTTCTAATACATATTTTTGGAAGGGCGTAAGATACGCCAACTTAAAAATATTATCAAATGAGAGAAAATCACTCAACAAAAAAACAATTCTTTCAAAAAGTTTAAAATTGATCTTTCTAATACATATCCTATGGAAGGAGTTTACATTCTCAAAATAAAAACCAGTTCAAAATTTTATTATTCCTTGAATAAAAATCATTTAATTTCAAAGCCATTCCAAATCCTTAAATCTGTATTAAAATCATTTTGCCAACAACCAATACAATACAAATTACATTTCCATATATCTTCTTGTCCATTTTAATTTTTTATCTCATTTTATTTAATTTTATTTAAAGCATATAGACATCGAGATCCTTTACACATAGTTATATAAAAGTCAAATACATAATAAATTCTTAATTCTAGAGATATCTCAAAATCTCATTTTTTTAATTTAAAATACCTTTCATTTTTCACAGTACGATCACAACAAACAGGCCATTTACTAATTAACACATATAAGAAAAATATCAAATTACAAAACAACTTTCAATATCATTCGCATCAAATTCTATTTTTTCATAATTATCAACTACATGTTATTATATAATATATGTCGGCGCATATTCCACTCTATACAAGTGTCAGACACACTAACACAAAGCTGTGAGATTCATACCTCTATCCGTAGGACTTCTCAAATCAAGAACACATATGTTTCACTATCGCACATCTGTGTAGGATCTAATTAACCCTTTGGACTGGTACTTCAAAATTTGATAATTTGATAATTTCATGTGATATCATCATTTGCCTTTAAAACAACTGTGCGTTAAACTAGACACGTTTCTCTATCATAATGCAAAATATCAAAGTTTGGGAGATTCCCAAAGTGTCTGAAACTGATCATAAGGGTGAAAAACCGTTTTCCAGAAGTTGGGAACGTAGGGTAAATTCAATTTTGAATTATTCAGTATCTTGATTTAGACAAAGTAAATTATCATGGAATTTTAGTTTTATTGTATCAAGAAGATTCAGTTCTCAGTTCCAGTCATCCCCCGGCAAAATTTCAGTTCGAGTTGTTTCATATTTAGTATTTTGCTTAACAATTAGATCTCTAGCTTGATCAAGTTCATCAAATGTTGGTCCTTCAACTTCTTCACTTTCATTTAATGATTTTGGATTTTTCTTTTGGTTTGAATTTGATTTTATTTGAATTTTAGGTTCAAAGCTTCCACCATAACTTGTTCTATCGCAGCCATAGCCACCACGATCATTATAACTATCATTTGGCAACATTTTTCTTTTTATGAAATTTACAAAACCTTTCAAAAAATTTTTTCTAATAAATTATACTTATATTGACATGCACTTTTAAAAAATGATAATTTCCATTTTTGACAATAAAAGTGTCAAAAAGGTGAAAAATTCTTTCATTCGAATATGAATCATAGAACAAAAGCTCTTTCATTAGCTGTTTGTTTAAATCTTGTAGCAAGCTTCTGGGCAATTATAGCATTTTTTGCGGCCCAAAGAATAATTGCTGCTAATGGAATTTCCGGAATTTCCTCATTTTATGAGGGTTCTCTCTCATATTGCACCATCATTTATATAGGTTCAGTTATTATCATTACTGTATTCTTATTCGTTAAGAGATTATGGTCTTTGATAATCTCAGGAATTTTCACAATTTTAATCACTATATTTTGCATCATATTATTCTCTTTATATCTTAGTAAGAAAGAAGAAATCGTTGAATCATATCATTACGTCTTCGAAAATCCAGATTATCTTAAATTCGGTCTCAAAATCCAAAATAATTTTTCATGCTGCGGATGGGAGAATGCTACAGATGTTCCAGATGAGCTTTCTTGCACAGGAAACTACTCTTGCAAGCCAGCAATTACAAAGGTTATAAATAGGGTTACTCTATCCCTGGATTCAGGATTGTTTATTGGCTTTGCATTCTTTGTTGCAGCTCTTTATTTTGTATATAAAGTTTTCATGGAGGTTCTTCATCCAATTTCATCGTTTGATGAGTTGACCCTAGCTCCTTTAGATCACCGCCCATAAAATTACCTTTTTAATGTAAAAATAAATAAAATTATAGTTTGCTCTACTTTCTCACCTTTTTTCCCCGAAATCAATATTTCATGACAATAAAAGTTTTATAAGTCCGAAATACAAATGCTAATGGTATGCTTATACTAAATAGGGAAGAATCCAACAACAAAGACTTTAATTAAAATTTATTTAAAAAATCTAATGAAAAGGACAGCCAATTATCGATAAGTTACAAGATCTTATCAATATAAAGCATTCGGTAAGCATTTTTAAGATAGCAGTTATAACGCCGATAATTTTTTTCTGAAATATTTTAATCGTAAATGATTTTGATCGATATTTTAATTAACACTACTATATAAATAGAATGGAAAATTTTAAAGTCGAGCTTATTGAATTTATTCTAAGGACCATTCTAACAATTCAAATTTTTGAATTGGTAAAATCAAAAGTCTTTCCGTTTTAAGTATGAAAAAGTCAGCGATTTATAGCTTCATTGGCTTTGCTCTATTTGCAATATCTGCCGCATATGTAGTTAATGATTCCTGCATTGTTAAAAGTAATATGACAATTGATAATCTACCTCAAAAAGAATCAATTTTATTAAAATATATCAAATTAAACATGGTTTTATTCAACATGAAAAAGCAATTGGAGAATGAGTGCAAGACAGGTAAGTTTTGGATCAAACCTTGCCCATTCCCATTCTTTTTGAGGCTAAAGTATGATTATTCGGAAACAAAATTCGGAAATAGAAGCTATTGGACAATCAAACCAAAGCACGCTACTTCAGACAACCTTTTATTCTACTTCCATGGAGGTGGATTCATCAGGAATATCGTGTTTTGGCAGTGGATGCTCGTTGCAGATTTAATTTCTCGAACCAACGCCACATTTATAATTCCGAACTACGAAATTGCTCCTTATTGGACTTATAAAGAAACATATGAATTCATTAAAGACTGCTATCTTGAAACACTCAAGCTATATCCCCATATGAATATTCATCTCATTGGAGATTCTGCAGGTGGTGGATTTATACTAAGCTTTGCTAACTCATTAAAGGAATTAGGAGTTAAACAACCAAAGAATTTACTTATGATTGCACCTTGGCTTGATTTGTCAGGACAAAACACAGATTACTATGATATAGTTCCTTATGACAAGCTACTTGACTATAATGGTGGAGTTCTTGCTGCAAACCTCTTTGCTGGAAAAATGAACAAGGAAGATCCGCGACTCAGCCCACTTTTCGGAAATCTCAAAGATTTACCAAGAATGGCCATTTTTGTTGGAACGCATGATTCTCTTATGGCAGACTGCAGACTCCTTCGAAAACGACTTATTAATGAGAGTATCCCTCATGAATACCACGAATTTCCTAATATGTTCCATGTTTTCAATGCCGCTACCCCTCTCAAAGAATCCCAAATTGCCAACCAGCGTATTGCAGATATTGTTAATCAATCATAAAGTGTATATATATTTCTTATCAATTCAACTTAGAGATTTTCTTTTTTAATACATTTTTAACTATTTCTTCAGTCGCTTGCATGATTATATTTCACTCGACATTATCTCAGGATATCATTGTAAATATAATGACTTTTATCAAGGATAGTAGAGTAAAATATCAACAAGCATAGATAACATTCATGTTAAAATGGTATGATTCTGAGTTTAGAACCTAATTTACATCACAATTTAGAAATTGACACAAATTAGATACACCATGCAGAAATATATATAATAAATCCAGCATACACTTGCATGATGTGTCTATCTCTATCTTGTGATGTAAACATCTCAAAATTGATGTAGGCAAGACGATAAGTATTTTTTATTCCAATTTAAAGTTTAGGAAGATTCATCAGAAGTTTTGCGTATTGCATCTTGAACTCTACATTGACAGTCATTCTGGGTTTGTAATTGATAGCAATTGGAATACTCTTAGTCGTCACATCTCCACTTTTCGATGTAACTGTGTATTCTATTGTATAATTACCTAGCTTTTTAGATGGAGTTATATCATCGACAATAGTAAATGGAGTACCTTCATCAGTGTGTGTTATTACTTTTGTTTGCCCATCCAGAACCCTAGTTACTGTACATTCTTCGCCTGATCCAAGGGTGTTGACGCGGAAGTGGAGGTGAATTGTGTCATAAATGGAATAGCAATCTTCAATTTTGTCAGTTAAGGTCAGAAAGTATCCAATAACTGTTATACGTGCGGCTCCATTGTCAGACCAACCATAGGAAGTTGGTGGATCTCCAGTTGGTGTTGGAATTGTTTCATTTCCTGGAATTGTTTTCTTCTCAATCCCACTGAATGAAATAACTTTACCGATATAACCTGACCCACCACCACCAGAACCGCCACCATACTGTACCCAAATGGTATTGGCTCCATAATACCCTCCACCACCACCGCCGGAACTAGCTCCACCAAAAAACTGGCCTTTTTCGCCAAATCCAAGTGAATATCCATCAGTTTGTGATGCAGCAGTACCATAATGTTGATATTGTCTTGGCCTGCCTCCTTCAATTCCTCCGCCATAACTAGTTGCCCAATAACCATAATAGCCGCTGTCCCAACCGTTTTCCCCACCATCACCTGCAACAATCACTCTGTTTTCTAACTGATTTCCATTTATCCTGATATCTGTTGCACCTCCTCCAGCACCTCCTTGATCATCATTATCGTCATCTTTCTGGCTATCTCCCCCGCCATTGAAACCGCCTTTTGCGTCTCGTGTCGATGGTTTCATTCCACTTTCACCTTGACCTCCAATATAAACGTAAACTTTTGTCTCCTCTGTCAAGAAAAGAACGCCGACGGAATAGCCGCCTTTTCCCTGTGCTTGCTTAAAACGCCCCATACAATAACTTTCCCCACCTTGTGCTCCCCAAACTTCGACTTTGTAGTAGCCTCCGGGAAGGCTTGTTTCATACCAAGTACAGTTAGAAGTTGAGTTACATGGATATTGGAATAGAACAGATGTTGAATTAGAGACAATATTAAGAGAAGCATTAACTGCACTACCAAGAATCCAAGAATTCATTTCTCGGCATCAAAAAAAATCAGAGTTTCTGATTCATGATAAAAAAATGAAGAGAAGAATATCAGAGTAAGAACAAACAGTTCCAAAGGAAAAATTACAATTTAAAGATTAAAATAAAGATAATTAATAAGTGATTAGTTAAGCCCAATTGCCATTTAATGTGTAGAAGCTTTAGAATCAACAATTCATGAAAACAAACCAAAATATTTAATATATAATGCTATTTTATTTAAATCAAATTTTATTATGAATTCTGGATAGCTTTAGAACTCAGAATTGCCAAGTCTGCACCCTTAGATTGTCAACTATAGAATGTTTTGATATCAAAAAGCTTTGAAATTTAGTTAATAAACAAAAATCTCCGGTTCTGGCAAAAAATCACCTGTCCGATAAGCTTATTATATGCTAAGATTCATTACTTTGATTTAACAACAATTAAAAAAAATATATGTCACTTTTGAAAAAAAAAGAATACGATAATTACGGTTTGGTATGGCCTTTTCTTCCGATGACACATCTTCACCAGGAAACACTCCAAAAGGCTATCAAGGACGTTCTTGAAGGCGCCAAGACAAAGAAGCGCGGATTCCTCGAGACAGTCGATATCCAGCTCAAGCTCAAGGGCTACAACGTTTCTAAGGATAAGCGTTTCGTCGGCTCCATCAAGCTCCCACACATCATCCGTCCAAACGTTCGCATCGGTGTCCTTGGTAACAAGGTCCACTGCGAAGAAGCTCAGAAGCTCAACATCCCAGCTTACGATCTTCCAACACTTACAAACTTCAACAAGGAGAAGAAGGTTGTCAAGGCCTGGACAAAGCGCCACCACCTCTTCCTTGCCTCCCCAGATGTTATCGGTCAGGTCAACAAGGTCCTTGGTCAGGTTTACACACGTGCTAACAAGTTCCCAACAAACATCAAGACAGATACAGTCGCTAAGGTTGTTGATGAAGTTAAGCGCACAGCTAACATCCGTCTGAAGAAGTCCGTCGCTTTCGGTATCCCAATCGGCAACGTCAACATGACAGAGCGCCAGGTTTTCGAAAACCTTACACTTTGCACAAACTACGTTGTCACACTTCTTAAGAAGGGCTGGCAATCAATCGGCTCCATTGTCCTCAAGTCCACAATGGGCAAGGCTCACCGTATCTACTAAATCATCTTTTAAATGATATTTAGATAATTGATAATATTTTTCTAAATTTATTGAGTTTATAGAAATATTTCAATTAATTTGATACATTCATAGACATCATGAAGTAGAAATTAACTAATTTAAGGCATAAATGCGAAATTGATTTTCATCGTTGATATAATGCTTGGTATTAAAATAATAAAATTCAAAATTACTTCCATTCATTGAGAAAAGGATCGTAATAGGTAATATTGCGATTCTATTATTCTTTTCTGCAATATACTTTGAATAATCATCATAATTAATCAATTTTTGATACGAGATTAAACAAAATCACATAATTTATATAACGATAATAACAAAAATAATTTATATACAAAAATAAACTATAATTCTGATTCAGTTTCACCAAGATTATCAGTCTGTTTCTGAATCTTTGCAAGTTCTCTCTTCTTCTGTGCGATCATTAGATCTAACTTCTCTGAAGTATCACGATACTTTGATCTCATGTTTATTAGATCCATCTGCTTTGTTGTTCTGTCCTCTATTTCTGTTGCATTTCTTCTACTCTTCTTTTCTTTCATATCTAATGTCTGCTTTATAGTAGAAGTTTCTGTTGATAGTTGATCTATGAGAGATTTATAGCGAGCGGCAGCTTGTTTCTTCTCAACAATGGCTGCAAGAAGATCTTCAATTTTATCTTGCATAACTTCGAGGTTATTTTCAAGCTGTTCATGGTCCATATCAGCCTCTGTTGTAACTTGCATTGCGCCTGCCTTCCATTTATCAGCAAGTTGCTTTTGCATCAAAATCTGTTTTTCAAAATCAGAGATTGCACTCTCATTTGCTTTGGTAACTTCATCTATTTGGACTTGAAGTTCTGTTATTTGAGCTTGATGTCCCTTCAATTCGTTGTTAACAGATTGTTCAACAGATGCATGTTGTTCTTGGATTTGATTAGTGAGAGATATGTTATCAGATGTAAGTTTAGCATTCTTTGCAAGAGTATCTTTGAGCAAAGACTTTTGCATTTCTAATTCCATTTCTAAATATTGACGTTTTTGGAGTAATAATCCTTGATCACTCTTTAAGAATGTTCTTACTTGGTTTTCTTTATCCTTAAATGATTCAATGTTCTGCTTTGATGATTCAATTTGCGCTGCTAACTGTTCTTTCTTCGTAAAACAAGCATCAATCTCTGCTTTAAGGCCAGAAATAGTTTCAACGAATGATGAGAATCCGTTGTCGCTTTTTGTTGCCTTTAAAATAGAATTTTCTTGGTTTGCAGCCGAAATCTGTTTTGAAATTGCTTCTTTATTTGAAGATAACTGTTGGTTTTCACTCTCGATCAATTTAATTCTACTTGCTATTGTTGAAAGTGCTGATTCGAATCTAACTTTCATTTGTGATTCTTGTTCATCAATTGCTTGATTAAATTTCTCTTGTGTTGAAGAAACAACAGATTTTATTCTTGCAAGTTCTTCTGAATACATATCTCTTGTCATCTTTGCTTTCTGAGCTTCTGCAGATGCTTCTTCGCAGAGTTCAACAGATTCAATCATTTTATTTAAGACAACATCTTGCTGTTGTTCTTGTTTCTTGATTTTATCTTCAATATTTTCATATGATTGAACAAGTTGTTGATGCTCATTATAACTATCTTGAAGTTTTGCTAATTGTTTGGAATTTGTCTGTTTTGCCTGCTCTAAACCTTGAATAAATGCTTCTGTTTGATTGCATCTCTGCGAAAGAGTGTTACACATCTTCTGAATTTGCATCTTAAATGATGCTAGCTGTTTAATTGTGATTCGATACTTCTTTGTTTCTTCTGTGAGACTATCTAGCTCTTGTAAATTGCTAGTATGTGCTGCCTTTTGATCGTTGTAACTTCTAATGCATTCTTGCTTAACTTCGTTGATCTTTGCGATTTCATTTCGAAGATCGTTGAGTTGTACTGCGTGAGCATTCACATCATCATCAAGATCGCTGAGTTTCTGTGCCAATGAATTATTACTTCCCATTATCATTGTCGATTGGAAGCTAAGTAATTGTTGATTTTCAAGTTCAAGAGCTTGAATTTCTTTTTTAAGATCTTCAAGAGTTTTCGGATCGTTTTTACTTGATCTAAATGACTGTCTTGTAGCCATATTTCTTTGTTCTAATAAATCTGATAATTTTCTTTGAAGGATTTTATTTTTATCGATTTGTTTTTGCAAGTCTTCGTCAAAGCATTTCGATATAGGTGAAAATACGAGTTCATCGTTCAACCATTCTGGTACTGCTTTTCCAGCACGATCAAAAACTTCTTGAATTGCTTGATTAGGTTCGATTTCATCATCTATAATAAGATGTCGTAATGTTGTCATCTTATTCCATAGGTCTTTTATATTTGTTTGTTTATTTTCTCGCCTCATTTACTATAAATTCTCTTTTTGCACGTTTAGAAAAAATTACTAAAATTTGTCATCTTATGTAAATCGTCAAAAATCAATAACTTTTTTGACAAATTATCCGATTGAATTTCCCAAAACAAAAAAAACTATCAAAGCCTCTTATTTTGGTATATATTTCTAAATTTCTGATAAAAGTGACGTTTGCCAGTTTACAAAACAATTCGATTATCCGATCAAATATATAATATGTCACATGAATACAAAAATATCTTAACCACTATGTAAATTTGTGATCTTCTGAAATCCTCAGAAATGACGAAGGCACCTGAGTTGCCACCGCTCAAGTGCTTAGCGCCACGATTTGACAACCTTTTCCCACTGGCGTCAATGATGGCGAACTTCGCATATTCTTTTTATTTCCATGATTACCTGACAAAAGATTTATCGTATTATCAAGAGTTTTTTGACAAGTTAAATTCAGAAATTAACCAGAAAAAGGGTTATGTAGGACTTAAAGATATGATATTTCTCGTCAATTCTCAAGTAAAGCTTACAAATTCCTTCAATTCTTTTCTAAATTCCTTAAAGGTCACTAAAGGAGAAAAGAAAATCAGATTAGCGAACACAAACTGCATGATGGATGCACTCGAAATCGCTTTAACATGTTGTGCTATGGATAACACACTCGAATTAATTCCTGTTAACTTACTTTGCTTAGAAATTCTTCTTGAAGCACTCAAAGCATTCTTACCTAAGCATGTTCAAGAGTTTGTCGTATGCTATGATAACATCAAAGGATATTTCGACGATGATACAACAAATTATTACAATCAAATCATGAATTGCTTCAAAACTATTCAACCAATATATCAGCAATACAGCAACAGAGCAGATACTGGCCATATCAAAGTCTGTTTAATTGCATCAAGCGTTTTATCTGCTGCTTGCGTTGGTTTCCAGCATCACATGTCAACATTAGGTATTCCAAACAAATACTCCGAATTTACAGGTCTTGCGCAAAATATCTGCTTAAAAATGTACCAATTTACAGAATTACTGAAATGGTCAATTTCTCTTTATTTGTATCACTCATGCTCTTGTCTTCAAGAAATATATCTTGAAACATGCAAAGAATTGAGAAAAGTCAACTATCTTCCAAAAATTGATCCAGCTCTTGAAGCAGAATTCGCCAATACATTAGAGAATGCGAGAAATTCAATGTTCATTGGCCCATTGTACACGAAAATCTTATACCAACAGATTTCCAAGCACATTAATCGTTTTAATGAAGTTTTCAGATATCTTCAACAAGCCGCATCTAAAGTTCCTTCATTGCAATCGATTTACTACGGATATTACTTCATTACTCAGCATACATATGTTGCCAATTCTCTTATTGAAGGCACGATTTCGAAACCAAATATCCCTCATCCAAACATGTTTGGGCCAATACTCGACAAATTCATACAGATATCCACAGAGTTCTTCGAAAAAATGAAAACAGCTATCTCTTCTGGTGAAGGTGAAACCGCATATCAACCAGCAGTTTATTTCGCACAATCCTTCAGAGGGGTTCTGTTTTGCTACTTCTATACAATACAACAAGGCGATACAAATCTCGATAAACTGATCGAAGATGTCGTATCGACTTTAATTCAGTCAACAAGACTATCTCTTGGCGACGAGCAAGCTAAAACAAAGCTGAAGAACCATACAAAAGCAATAGAAAAGTATCTCGAACAGACAGTTCAAAAAGCTGCCAAAGCAAAAGAATCTTTTCTGAGTTCAAGACAAGACATTTCTATTGCTCCTGTTGCATCAAGACCAGCTGAAATCAAGATTCCTCCAATTGTTGATTACAGATTTCCAGGTGCAAATGGTCAATCAATTGGTCCAGTTCCTATGAGTGATATCACAGTACAATACAAGAGATTCATTACTCGTTTCCAACAGCAATATTCAGGAGCACAAAGACAATTTGTTAAAGCTGATCTTTCCATTGACGAAGGCGATGAAATGGACGAAAACACGCAGTTTGAAGCTGAAGAAGAAGCAGATGAAGGTGATGACAATTACGATGAAGAAGAACATGGCGAAGAAGATGAATTTGAAGAAGAAGTTCCTTTCATTGATTTGAAAGGTCTTGTAGGAGCAATTCCTTATTTGGAGCCATTGCTTAAATACGAACCACTTCAAAGTCAACAGTTAGTTCCAATGTTACCAACATTAGTTAACAACCAAATAACTGTTCAACAGATTAATTTACAGAAGAACAATGTTAGTTTCGAAGATCCTTTGGGAGGAATAGGAACAGGAAAACAAGTTTCTGAAGTTAAAATGCTGTCATCGTCATCACAACCACCTCTCCCTCTTCCTCCTAATTTTATGTCCAATCCAATGGCACCTCCTCAACAGAACCAAATGCCTCCGATGCCTGGATTGCCTACAATGGGTGGTCCAAATATGTCAAACATGCCTCCTTTACCTGGAATGTCTATTTCAGTTACAACAACTACAACTACTACGCAAAATACATTACCAGGAATGCCACCAATGCCTGGATTACCTCCACAGCAAAACACTCCACCAGGAATGCCAAGTTTACCTCCTGTTGGTGCTCCTCCACAATTACCAGGAATGCCACCAATGCCAGGTTTACCACCACAACAAGGATCTTCCTCTGGATTACCTCCGATGCCAAGTTTGCCTCCTCAACAAAACTCTCCACCAGGAATGCCAAGTTTGCCACAAATCGGAGCTCCTCTTCCACAACAAGGATCCCAACCAGGACTTCCTCCAATGCCAAGTTTACCACCTCAACCACCTCAACAAGGATCTTCTTCTGGATTACCTCCAATGCCAAGTTTACCATCACAACAAGGATCACAGCCAGGACTTCCAGCGATGCCAAGCTTACCACAAATGGAACCTCCTCAATCTCAATCTCCAACAATGCCAAGTTTACCACAACAAGAAGAAGTTTCTATTCAACTCCTTCCTCCACCGTCATCACCAGAAATGCCTGAACCTCCAGCAATGTCAACAGGAAATGAAGGACTTCCTCAATTGCCACAACTTCAGCAGCAAACACTTCCTCAGATTCCTGCACCTAATTTGGCACATCCAAGAAGAATGTCTGTTGATGTATCAGAGATAGAACAGCAACAAGGAGGACAATTACCAGGCCAACAGTCATCGAGAAGAATGTCAATAGATATGAGTTTCTCATCATCAAACCAGATGCCATCAATTCCTCCTCCATCATCATTAATTCCCCAACAAGATGATCAGCAGCAGTACAATTCAGGATATCAAGAACAACAATTTAACTCAGGATACATGGATCAACAACAGTATAATTCTGGATATGCTGATCAGCAACAGTATAATTCGAATGATACTTCACAATTTGCATCAGGATACATTAAACCAGAACAACTCGGATATGGACCAAAGAGGACATCATCATTTGTTCTGCAAGAAGAAACTGAAACTACACAACAATATAGTAACCAACCAATGTTGATTGGTCCAGCAAATTTGCAGCCAATTACAGGAATCATGTTGAATATTCCACAAACTCCACCTCCGTCACAAAGAAAGAACCAACAGATGCAGTCAATGGGAATTCCTGCAATGGGATTGCCTCGTCTTGGTCTTCCTTCTCTTTCTTTGATGAACATGCAAGGAGGAATTGCTCTTCCTAAATTACCTCCAGCAATTCCAGGAGGACTTCCTCCACCTCAACCACGTCCACCTCAGCAACAGGTTCAACAATATAACTCTGGAAACGCTCAACCAGAACCTTCTCAGCAGCAATTTAACTCTGGAAACGTGCAGCCAATGCAACAGCAACAGGAAATGCCTGCACTTCCTCCACAACAACTACCAGTCGGAATGCCTCCAATGCCTCAGCAGCAGCCTCCTCAAACAATGCCTGGAATGCCTCAACTACCTCCACAACCAGCTCCTCCTCAACAGCAAAGCATGCCACCAATGCCTCCGCAGCAACCACAGCAGCCTCCCCAAACAATGCCTGGAATGCCACCAATGCCTCCGCAGCAACCACAGCAGCCTCCCCAAACAATGCCTGGAATGCCACTAATGCCTCCGCAGCAACCACAGCAGCCTCCCCAAACAATGCCTGGAATGCCACCAATGCCAGGAATGCCCTCTCTTCCTGGACAAGCACCACCAAGTTCGATGCCGCCAATGCCTGGTATGCCACAGCTTCCACCGCAATCAAATTCTCCTGGAGGAATGCCACCAATGCCAGGAATGCCGCAATCTCCTCAGAACTCCCAAATGGCAGGATTGTCTACAAACTTACCAAGGAGTCCTTCTGGTTCAAACAATGGAATGCCACCAATGCCAGGAATGCCACAATTGCCTTCGACTCCATCTCCATCCACTGGATCTAATAGCGGAATGCCACCAATGCCTGGAATGCCAACTCTTCCAGGACAATCACCACCAAGTTCGATGCCGCCAATGCCAGGAGTTCCTCCTCCAACGGGATCAAGTGGAAGAATTCCGCCAATGCCAGGAATGCCTCCGATGCCAAATCAAAAACCAGGAATACAGCCAGCGAATTCAATGCCTCAGTTACCAGGAGTCCCTCCTCCAACTGGATCAAGTGGAGGAATGCCTTCTCTTCCTGGAATGCCACAACTTCCTCCAAGTCCTAATAATGATGCAGCTCAGTTCAATTCTAGTAGAATGGCAATGCCACCAATGCCTGGACTTCCTCAACAACCAAACAGAATGAACGATGCAGCACAGTTCAACTCAACGAGAGTTGCAAGTCCAGGAATGCCAATGCCTCCATTACCAGGAATGTCACAACAGCCTCCACAACAACCAAATAATGGAATGCCTCCTCTTCCAGGAATGACTCCAATGACAACTTTGCCGCAAAGACCAAATCCACCTCCAGGACAAGGAATGCCTCCATTACCAGGAATGCAGCAGCCAGGAGGAGGAATGCCTGATACATCACAGTTCAACTCTGGTCGAATGGCAATGTCTCCTATGCCAGGACTTCCTTCATCTCCACAAAACCAAAATAATGCTTCTCAGTTTAATTCTACCAGAATGTCAATGCCACCAATGCCTGGTATGCCAGGAATGCCACCGATGACAGGATTACCTCAACGACCGCCTCAACCAGGCCAAGGAATGCCTCCTATGCCTGGAATGCCGCCAATGCCTGGAATGCCACAAAGACCACCTCAACAAAATCAAGGAATGCCTCCAATGCCTGGAATGCCACCAATGCCAGGAATGAGATAATAAAAGATTTGAATATTTCTTCGCGTTTTTAAACTGTAATCTCTTTTTTTAAAATAGAAATTCTCATTAAATTAAAAATTATTTTAAATTAAATAGTTGAAATGAGGTTACAAAAACAAAATTTTAATCGTATTTAATAAACATACTAAACAAAACGTATTATTATATCATTATCCTCTTTGGTTCGAGATTAAGAGGTTGTGGTGAAAGACTTGGTAATCTGCTCACGTTTCTCTTGATTTGTGCAGCAGGAAGAGGCTGTTTCCTATCAGGAACAATCGAACAAATCGTTGGTCGGACTTTTTGATTTGACATTGGTCGAACTCTCAGCATCTGAGCGTTTTCTCGTAGCAAATCTGAATCTGGTGTAAATATTATGGCAAACGGCGGTTGGTTTCCAACCAAATTTATGATTCCGCAGTAGCCCATGTGAGCATCTGAAGCAAGAGCGTAACATCTGTCATCAAGCATATTTTCAACGCCATCGCCAGCGTTTTTGCCACCAAAAATAAGGAAATTGAGATTGTTTGTCGCTAAGAATTCTTCAAGGACTTCTTCTGAAGGAATAACGTTAGCAAGACCACTCAAAAATAGATGGCTTTGGTCTACAACACATGGAATGGGAAGTGTTTCATGAAAGATCTCTTGTAAATTCGAATATCTTGAAACTAAACTTGATCTAGAGCAAAGAACACTGTTTCCAATTAAGCAAGCAATAGGTAAATAAGTAAATGTTTCTAAAAATACTGATTTCAATATAGAATTTGGACCATAGGTTGTATCAATATTGGAAGATAATGATCTAGGGCCCTTAGATGGATAGAATTCTGTTGACCCTCTCAAAAGTGAGATGTTCGATGGAAATAGATAATATAAAGAGAAAAGATAAATAACAACTTCGAGGGAAAACTCGCCGTAGTTAATGTAGTTGCCTAAAAAGATGTAGTTTTGATTTGGAGGAAGCCCATGAATGGCAAATATCTGAAGAAAATTCAAAAAGTTTCCATGCAAATCACCAACAATGATAACTCCTGGTTTTCTTTGAATTACTGCAGGCTGGATGCGAAGAATGTCTTTGACTTCGCTGCAGAGTTGAACGATATCATGTTCATCAAATACTGGCAAGGGATACATTCTTCCGATCTGTGAAGGTCCGTTTTTCCATTGAACAAGGATTTTCTTGAGTTCCATGAAGATAATGTTTGACATTGACTTCTTGATGGAGTCTCCAGCTGGTGGGGGTTGTCTTATAATCACAGGTCTCATATTTTGAATTTTGATTATCGATTTCCATTCATTTCATTTTTCAATGATAATATCGATAAAAATTATTTGCAATTTGCAGTATTATAAGAATATTTTATTCCCGAAATTTATCGAATTTGAATGTATTGATATTTTGAATTATGCCAATAGTTTATTTGCAAAAGTCCAATATTCTTTATTGATTTTGATAAGCATATGATATAGAGACAATTAATCTTTTCTTGACCATTTAGCATTTGTCTCTCAAAATGAATGGATTTTGAAAAGTTGACAAAAAAATCTGTATACCGTAAAATCTTGTATTTATCTTGAATGCTCGGACTAATTGATGCATATGTATTGTTTTTACAATTAATACTTGTTAGGATAAATAAGAAAAGATTTTTGGAAATTCAATATTTTATTCAGATCTGTGATACATGTGCATCTTTTTGAATCATGTTGTTTTGTTATTTGTTATGAACATTAGTCAAATTCTTTGTTTTATTATAATAAGAATTTAATAATCATGAAAAAGTAAGTACATACTAATGAATGAGTAAAAGAAGATATGTTTGGCTAGAATATATTCATTTCAAACAGCTAAAAGGTACTTCCGCAATCGATAAAATCTTTTAATTTGAGATAACGTCAATTTGTTTAGCTTAATATATACCGTTATAACACTTCGATGTGATAAGGTAAATTATCAAATAACAGTTAAACACACTTCCAAATCAGATTTCACAAAAGATAATTTACCTTCTTATACGATATTATATATGCTTAGCATACAATTAGTTCAGAAAATTGAGTTTTTCATTCTCCATAAGCATTCCTTTTGTTGCTTTGATGAAAAATAATATGACCATGCAAAATATGAGTTGGAGAATGTGAACATCTTCTCACGAGTCCAAAGGTCCAACGAAAAGTCATATTTGATAAAAGCGGGGATCACCATTGAAATCCAATCAATTTGACAATAAATGCCAACCATACCAACTGATTCAAAATTCTTAATCTTCATCCAATAAAGAATAAAATTTATCAATAATTTCAACTGAACAACTTTAAGATTGTTTTCAATAGAAAACGTAATTTTTGACATGTAAAGAGTCAAATAGATGGGAGATAAATCAAGTATTTTAGACCGAGTGATTCGTGCATACGAAAAACTTTGGGATAAACCCATCCCTCCCGAGACCCCTCTACCTGGATTTTCAGAAAGAGATATGACAGACTTATGCCATCAAACAGTTGAAAAATTATCTGCAAATCCCGACCCCCTACTTGAGTTGGAATATCCAGTAGTTGTTGTTGGCGATTTGCACGGAAGTATCGAAGATTTGCTACGTATTTTCAGAATTTTTAAACCACCACCACAAACTCGTTACTTATTTTTAGGTGATTACGTTGATCGCGGCGATAACTCACTTGAAGTAATGACGATACTTATGGCATTGTACTGCAAATACCCAGATAAAGTTTACTTATTACGCGGAAATCATGAATTCTCCCATATCAACAAAGTTTACGGTTTTTACGAAGAAATTGTTGAATCATATAGAAAGCCAACACTTTGGGCCATCTTTCAGCGTGTTTTTTCATTTCTTCCATTAGCCGCTGTTGTAAACAAAGAAACATTCTGTGTTCATGGTGGTCTATCGCCATATTTAGAAAAGATATCCACTATCCGTTCTATATCACTCCCCATCTCCAACTACGATGGTCAATCTCTTATATCTGACCTTGTTTGGTCAGATCCATCAGATAAGGATGTAGATTACGAGTCTAATAACAGAGGTTCCGGAGTACTTTTCGGAAAACAGGCCGTTAAAGACTTTCTTTCCAAGAATAATTTGAAATTTATGATCAGAGGCCACCAATGCACTACTACAGGTGTCCATGCTTTTGCAGGTACACTCGGAATGACAGTTTTCAGCTGTTCAGACTACTGCCGCCTTCTCGCGAACAGATCTGGCTGCGTCCATTTCAGAGGCAACGGGGAAGTTACTTTCTTTTCACTCGGCGACGACACAGAAGATGGTAACTGCGAGAAAGCAATCATGTTGCTCGTCGATGGTCGCATGGGACTCCAAAGATCTACAAAATCTTATGTCAGAAAGGAACCAGTGACATTAGATACTCCACCTACTAATTTTTCCATCAAACTGATACCTCTCGGACAGAGGAACGCTGTTACACTACAAGGCGAACACCCTCCACCGCTGATTCCGAGAAAATCAGATTCAGCTCCAGGATCCGATGCCGGAGTCACGAAGAAAAAGAAGAAAAAGATCATCAAGAAGAAGAAAGGTCTTAAGAAATCCAAGACACAAGTCTCTCTCAGAGAGAAGGCAGAGAGTTCTACGTCTAGTTCTACAACAGACAAAGAATCATCATCAGATTTACCAACATTCTTGACACAGCCAAATGAGATGCCTTCTGATGATTATTCCCTTGACGAGAATGACAAACCAAGCATTATTAATACTCCTGAAAGCTGTGATAGGAAATGCAGTCCTCCTCCACCGAATTCTTTGGCTTCGATGCCTGCACAAGTAACAGCAAGTGATGCACAAATTGCACTGCAACAACCAAACGACGCAAAGCCAAAGAAGAAGAGAACAAGAAGGAGATGCAGAGGACCAAAGACTCCTACTATTGATGCACCATAATTTTATAGAAATATATATATATATTTTATTGCGTTTTTTATTTATGATTATACGATAAATGTTTGTATGACGAATTTTTTTACTCATTTATTGTCACAGTTGAAATATAAATAAGATTTGAACATGTGTGTTTCTCACAATGTAGAAATCTTTGTTTATCAGGGATCCTAACTATATATGTTGAAAAATATTGACGAAGTATTTTACATTATCTCTATTGTTTTTCAACAATATTACGAAATCTCATCTTCAAATCATAATGGCATTCAGCAAAAGTTAAATTTGAGTCCTCTTTAAAGTAAATAACAATATCATATATTACTATATCTTATATTACTATACCTTATATTACTATATCTTATATTACTATACCTTATATTACTATACCTTATATTACTATACCTTATATTACTATATCTTATATTACTATACCTTATATTACTATATCTTATATTACTATACCTTATATTACTATACCTTATATTACTATACCTTATATTACTATACCTTATATTACTATATCTTATATTACTATATCTTATATTACTATATCTTATATTACTATATCTTATATTACTATATCTTATATTACTATATCTTATATTACTATATCTTATATTACTATATCTTATATTACTATATCTTATATTACTATATCTTATATTACTATATCTTATATTACTATATCTTATATTACAATCATCTATAGAAGATATATATAGCCTCATTGATTAATCACAAAGATAAAACATATTTTTTATTCAGACAATTGAATCAAATCCTTCAAGAACTCGTTAGGTCTCTGCATGCAAGTGCAGCCGTAAGATATCTCGAGTCCCTCAGACTTCCTCTTGTTCGCCATTGTCATCAGACCGGCGTATTCGATGTAGTTTCCTGGTCCAACAACGAAAACAAAGACATCTCCAATTTGCAACTGTTTCTCATTGACATCTCCTGTGACTGGATTCTTCAGAGTGTAGCCGTCAATGGAGTCCTCGAGTAAGTACCTCGTTCTGGACACAACAGGAACTTTCTCCTCAATTTCACCGCTTCCGCTCGCGACTTTTCTCAAAAACTTTCCCAAAACAGATTGAGAAGATTGATTCGAAGCTCTGAACTGTTTCAGCTGCTCGAGGAATGGCATTGGACCTGCAATCTGCTCAAGTGCGTCAAGCTGTGCACCATACAAATATGCAATGGCGGCAACACGTTGTTTGTCCTCAATTTTTGTGATGGAATTCAAAATTTCTGTCACTTTTCTGATGTCAACTCCATTTTGAGACAAAATTGATTCTTCGACATCGCTCATGTCGATAATTTTATCCTGTGTTGCTGCTTCGACTAATGCTTGGCAGATCTTTGTGTGTGCGGCTAAAGATGTCCTTAAATGTTGCAAATTTTGGAGATCTGAAATTGTTTCGTTTATATTGTCCTGGATTCCATTGTATTTGCTCTCAAAGTCCTTCACGTTCTTGGAAACTGTATTCATGACTTCTCCTGTGTTGGAAAGTCTGTTTTCGGCCCAAAATTGGTCGATTCCTGTATCTAAGTCGAAAGTTTCTTTTCCAACCTTGATTGCGTTCCTTGTAATGCCGAATACATCGTTTGCAAGAGATTGGTAGAGTCTGGAGTGATGGAGACCAGATGCTAAATCAACTGTACGATCTAGAAGGATTAATAACGGTGTTTTGGCGGATTTGTTCTTTCTGCTCTCCCATAATTCGAAATTGCCTGAAAGTGGCTTGATCTGCTGGCTGAATAATTGATAAACATATTCGCTCGCACTTGCTTCGCCATTTTGGTATAGAACGTGTGGTATCTGACCTTCTGTAAGAAAGACTGATACCAAGCCGGATGCAATGTCTCGAAATGCTTGTTCAGCTGTATCTTGAGCTTTAAACGAGTAAATGTCCTTCATGCATGACCTGTTTTCGAATAATGTAAAGAGTCCTGGATCTGGAGATGAGAAGTCGACGTATTGATCAAATACAGCTCTGACACATCGACCATCTGAATTTTGGGCAACTTGTTCTGCAAGATTTCGAAGGCTTTCTTCGGAAATTTTAGAAATGAAGTTAATGTATACTGAATCGTATAAACTGTTTTGAATATCATTTGAAATAATTGCGCAATTTTCTGGAGTTGGCTCAACTAAGTAAACTGCTGAGATATCTGGAATAGGATCCCTCTTACTAGTTATTAAGCCGTGGTAGGTAACGCCTAAATCCATTAAACTGGCAACTTTTAATAAAGTTGACAAAATGCAGAGTCCACGTTCATCATAGATGAGAACTTTCCATTTAACAGCTGTCTTTTGACCAGATGTTGATAATGGTTCGTTCAAATTGATGATTTTTTGTATAAGTTCCGCTTGTCTTTTGCGTAACATATTTTTTTGAATTTCAAAAAATTATCGGAGAGAATAAAGTGATAAATGGAATATAATATAAGAAACCAATATGCAAAAATTGATTTTGATGCGAAATTTTTATCAATTAGCTAATTGAAGAATACGAAAAGTGATTTTAGACAATATTAAACAGCTTATTTAGTTGACTTTAATAAGGTGATTTTATTTTTGTTAATAAGAAGGCGAGATATTTATTTTTTTATCATCAAAGTTTCTGTATTTAGATGAGAAAATGATGAATTCATTTATTATGTTAGCTTTTATTGTTGGATTACTTAGCTCCAATGGATTTTAGATAATTTCTGACATCTCTGGAGTCAGTGATTGAAAGAGCAGTTTTTCCATCATTATTCTTTGCATCTTTATCAGCTCCAACAAAGATAAGATATTTAACAACCTCAAGATGATTTTTGGATGATGCCCAAATGAGTGGAGTCCATCCATCTTTATCTTTTGCATCTTTATTAGCTCCAATAGAGATGAGATACTGAACAATTTCAAGATAACCTCCTTTTGATGCATAAATGAGTGGAGTATATCCATCATTATTCTTTGCATCTTTATCAGCTCCAACAGAGATAAGATATTTAACAATATCAAGATGACCTTTTTTGATGCTTTAATGAGTGGAGTCAATCCTTTTTTATTCTTTGCTTCTTTATCAGCTCCAATTGATATAAGATATCTAACAATTTCAAGATGACCATATGATGATGCATAAATGAGTGGAGTATATCCATTGTAACCCTTTCCATCTTTATTGGCTCCAATAGATATCATATATTTAACAAATTCAAGATCACCTTTTTCCGCTCCAAAAGCTATTGGAGTACCATGACGGAAACACTGCCTTTCTTTATCGGATCCAATAGAGATAAGATATTTAACAATTTCAAAATGGCCTTCTTTTAATGCAAATTCAATTGGAGGTTCTGAAGTTTCTAAGTTTTCTGCTTTATCTGCGCCAGCAGAAATCAAAGTTTTAACAATTTCAAGATGACCATTTATTGATGCGTAAACGAGTGATGGATATCCATAGTTATCAGCCACGTCTTTATTAGCTCCAATGGAGATAAGATATTTAACAACTTCAAGATGACCATTTATTGATGCCCAAATGAGTGGAGTTCTCAATTCACTATCATTAATTTCTATATTAGCTCCAGCAGAGATTAAATATTTAACAACTCCCAGATGACCATTTTTTGATGCAGAGATGAGTGGAGGCAAACTACCATAACGTTTTGGTTCTTTATCAGCTCCAGCAGAAACAAGATATTTAACAACTTCAAGATGACCATTTTCTGCGGCAAAATTGAGTGGAGTATAATTTCGTCTACTCCTTGATTCCTTATTGCAGCCGCATTCAATGAGAGATTTAACAAGTTTGAGATTTCCTTTTTCGCATGCCACATGTAGTACATTCATCGATTCTTCAAACCAATGTTTTGATGGAGTTTCCTTCTCCCAAAGACCTTCAATACAAGCTTTTGTAATCATTTTTTTATTTCCTTGAATAGAAAGTTCGTCAAGAAAATTGTAGACACTATCGAAATCTTTCGATCTCTTAAGTTTGGATATCTTTGGAAGGATTTCTTTCTGGTTAATTTTTTCAAAAACTTGATCAAAAATCTTTTCTTTTTCTTGGATTTCTTTCTTTAATTCATAGTTTTCTTCAGTAATTTGTTTGAGTTGAGACAAAAGTGTAGCCATTTCTTCATCGCCGTTTGGATTTACCTGCTTTTGTAGTGTATGTAATAAAAAATCAATAGCACCATCAAGAATTCTAAGTTTAAAGGATTTTCTGACTGATTTAAGAAATGAAATAACTTCTTCGAAACTTTGTATAGAAACTGTTGCACCTCCAATGCATTTATATAATTCTTTTGCTTTAATTGCAGAACGGGATTGTTCTACAAGAGCAATGAAGTCATTTGCTGTCAAATGTGAGAATTTCATGATTTTTTTGATATCCTGTTTCTCGAAAGTATCAAAAAAACTTATTTTCGTCAATATAATCTTTGATATGAGCCCCAATATATTCAAAATTCTGAACAATTGCTTGACTCGTTTTTTTAGAGTGCGGGACAAATTTGCCAAGTGTCACTTTTTCCCGAGGCACCCTTTCGTAATGATTGGGAGCCTTGGGGCTCCTGCAGCAGAGTATCGCTCCGCTCCATTAATTTTTTTTTTAAAAAAGTGCCGTGTGGCAAATTTGTCCTGTTCCCATTTTTTTATTTTACAAAAATCTGACAATTTCGAATCTGTGAAAAACAAAATCAAATAATGCATAATTAGTTTGCTCTTGCCAAAGCATATGATTTCCTATTAAAATATAGTGTAATCGAAATTCTTTCAAGAATTTTGATTATCTGATGTTTAAACATCAGTGTACTTTTACAAATCACAAATTGAGCAAAACTCATAAAACTTGGTATCAATGCTAAGTAAAGATGAGGGAAACATTAAAATCCAAGGAATTTCTGATAGCAAATTTTTTGAATTGTGCATAAATTATGATTTGTAAAAGTATTATGTTATGCGAGCAGATGTACTGTATGATATGTTATTGAAAAATATTATAGGAAAGATAGAAATATATTTCATGTTAAAAATATTAAAAATACATACAATTTAATCTTCAATGGTTGTTTCACCACCTTTAGACCTTGAAAGAGCGATCTGATTCTTAACTTCGCCTTGAGATTGCAAAGCTCTGAAGTAAGGATGTCTTACAATATCAAAAATGGTGCATCCTCCTTCTCTAGCAATTTCAAGTATACATTTAAGTACGGGACCTTGCAAATTTGGCAAAATAATTTCATCAATAATTTTAATTAATGATGGAATTGCCAGTGGTTCATCATGCGCCTCTACATCTTTGTCTGCACCCCATTCTGCATCTACTATGCAGATTTGGTCGCCATCTGCGGTTACATTAATATTAGCAGCTCCTAAAGGCGCTGCAAGTCTCTTTGAGCCATACATTGTTAAATCGCACAATGCTGTTGCAATTCTGGATCTCCAATGTGCAAAAAGTGGAGATTGTTCGCCAATTGCAGTTGGACCACGGAAAAACGATAAAATTGGGAGATATCGGTTGCTATCGTACATAAACCAGACTTTATCTCCTGTTTCGCATCTCATATCTAAAGGAGATCTGAAACAATGTGAAGGAAGGAATTCACGGGCTATCTCGAAGTCTAGAGCTTCCTTATGGTATGCTGTATATGAGGCTGTCAATGCATCAACTTCTATGACATCTATTAAATTCTTTGCAGCATCTTGAGCAGCAAAGCAGCAAACACCAGGACAGATTTGCTTTTTAGTACCATTACGCGATTTAACAGGTGGTTGAACTTTCTTTCTCTGATTCTTAACTAATTGGCCGACATATGCAATTCTTTGAGCAGTTGGTTGAGGTATTGGTGGATCAACGCCGTCAATACGACTCCAAAAGAAGTTTCTGAATCTCTGAACTTTGTTATCTTGCTCGTTATCTGTTGCTGCTGTTGATCCTGCAATTGTCTGCTTTAAATCTTGAATAGTATTAAGAATGAAGTGTAAATTAACGACGTCTGATGGATATGAAAGCGCTTTCTTGACTTGTCGTTCAAGTAAATCGAGAGATTCGTCAACATGTGCACAATGTTCTTCAAATGCCAATCTTTCATTCTTAAACTCTGTGTCGATAACTGCACGTTTAAAGTTTTCAAATGTAACTGGACGAGCAGGTGATGGTTGTGGGAAAAGTGAAGTAATCCAAGTATCTTGCTGAGTAATATGTCCATTTTTTGCAAGTTCAGCCACAAAAAGCTCCATATTTTTCTGACTTGTGATTTCGGTGGCGCCTGGATCAAGTGCATGCTGAAAACATTCTTCTGGATTCATTTAAATTTTTAGGATGAAAAAAAAGAGTTCGTTTTTTATTTTTTTCTTTTGCTCAATTTTTTTAATTTCGAGATTTACTTGATGAATCATTATCAAAATTGTTTTAATGTATTTTTAAAAGTCCAAATGATAAAACAAATCGATTTTCAAAATTATTTATTTCAAAAAATTGAGATAATCATTTATTTTGTATCTAAATAGATTTGATATTAATAATAATGATTATTTATGCAAATTGTCATGTACGAAATCAAAATTTATGAATGATGATTCTATTTTTTACCTATCTTACTCTTTCTGATCCCAATTTGACAATACACGATATTGGCGTAGCTGTGTGGTCAGGAAAAGAATGCATAAATACGAGAATGGTAGCTGCATGTAACACCTGGGTTAAACAATTTCCAGAAGTTGCAGTTTATTCAGATTTTTATCCAAAAGGATCAAAAGAAAAGCTTCAAAGTATAGCATCACCTACAAAACTTTTATTTTTCGAGCTCGGCGACTGTAGACAACATTATCTTGTTACAGCATGGCAAAGAGCCCAGCCACGATTCATGAAAGCAATGGAACACTTTTACAGATATAATACAAGTAAGAAATGGTACTTTTTCTGTGACGATGATTCATTTCCTATTGCAAGAAACCTTGTTGCGTTACTTAAAGATTACAATTCAGAAGAAAGTAAATTTATTGGCAAACTATACTGTGCATGGCCAGAAGTAGTTTTCGGAAAAAAGGAAATGGAAGAATGTATTTTATTTGCACAAGGTGGTGCAGGCGTTTGTATCACGGCAACTTACTTTGCGCGAATAGTAGATAATATGACAGAGTGCAATGCGAAGTTTACTCACAGATACTACGCTGGTTCGATGAGATTTGCCAAATGTTCGCATGATGCATTTCCAAGAGAATGGATTGAAGGTAGGATATTGTCTAGAAGAGATGATAAGTTTTTCTCAACAGGACCTATCTCAGAAATAGAAGATGGAGCTAATATTAACACGCATCCGGTCAATTTCCATAAATTAAGTATATCATCAATTTATTACGTCCGAAATTCATATATGTCGATGTTTAATTTGCCATCAAATAATGCTTCGAGATTTACTGATTGGAGAGACGTTGCTGGTAATAAATATACGATATATATGGATACAAAGCTTCATTCTTATAATTTGATGCTTGGTTACTATTTAGGATTAACAGATAATTTTGAATCATTTTTACAGAGGCAAACGTCACAGTATATCCCTGTTTTTGATGAAAAAGAAGTTGATAAAATTGTTGCATACAAGCAGTATTACAATGACAACTTCCTTCTTGAAATTATTTGCGATGATACTGTTCCTCAAGGAAAAATGTGGACAGACCATTACGAAATAAGAAATTATACTCATGTATATACTAGAATGAAATGTCCACCTATCGAAGAATATGTTTGGCCATAATTTATTCTTATTATTCTTGTTATATAGCTATTTTTAATGTTATGATTGTTGTTAAAGATTTTATTTAGTTATTATGAATAATTTCTGAATCTTCATTATAGTTACACTAGTTATATTAGAATTACAGAATATAATTCTTTATCTATACTTGAAAATTGTTAAAATATACTGCATCTGGTGAAATAAAGATCATTATGAAGGACAAAAATCGCATTACTAACTTAGGTTAAGAAATTAATTCGAAATTACAGTTTTTTTATGAATGTTTCATTCATTCACAATGAGATGTAATGATTTGGTGATTCAGTGTGCATATACGAGATATGTTTTGATGTTGCTATTGATCAATTAACTGAGATATTTTGAAAATTTCTCTATATTCATACTCTTTCAAGTAAAAATATAAAATTTGTATATAACAAATATTTACATACTCTATAAAACAAAAGAAACAAAGAAAAATTATTCATAAGTTTGAGATGAAACAACAAAATTAGATTTCAAGAGTAATTCGAGCTGTGTTCTGGTTACTTGCAGCTGTTCCTTCAAAAGGGTTAGCATTGCTGGATCTGTTCTTGGAATCGTAAATTTCATTGATTCAATTATTGATTTTACGATTTCTTGGTCGATTTCTCCTGCTTTTATTGCAGCTGCAACAGTTGCTTCGACCAGAGAAACAACAGCTGAAGCTGCAGTTGGATTTGACTGGCAGAGATTCTTCAATGTAGGTAAAATTGATGGTAACCAGTCGAGTGTTTCGTCTACATCATTAGGAATGAAACTCCATATCAATTTAACTCCAGCGGAAATCATGATATCACTTCCTAAGCCATTCAAAGGTAGATATGAAGTAATTAAAGAGATATTTGATTCCTTTGTCTCTTTGCACAGATAAACTAAAGCATTAGAGATATCTTCAAGGAAATTTGCTTCTCTAATTCCGTAATTAAATAACTGGCGTAGTTTGATAAGAGAATTATAAGCTCCGCAATGTTGGATTGCTTTTGGTGTAAGTAATGATCCAAAATTCAAAATTATTAAGTCATGAATAATCACATTTTGAGTTTCTGTTGATGGAGCGTTGAACATTTCTGGTTTGATTGCTCCGAGTATGAAAAATAGTATTTCTTCGGCCGTTTCTGATGCTTCGCGAAAGATTTGAAGAAAATGACTGAATTCTAATGAAGATTCTTCGAATTTATCACCGTATTCCATTAAAGCAAATCCTAATGAATCTGATTTGGTGTCTATTAATTCTCTAATTGCTCCATAAAAAATGTCTGGATCTGGATTTAAGAAATCTACGAAATTTTCAAGTGCCAACTTTTCCCATGGCTGTAAATTATGGACTGATAGTGATTTACCTTGACTATAAAGAATATAGTCATAAGTCAATTGTGGAAAATTGCTGTCTTCAAGAATAAATACAGATGGATCCTCAGGTTCTACTGTTGATATTTTAAAAGGTGCAACAAATTTTGCTGGTTCAGGTTTGTCTATGTCTTCGGATGTGTCAATATCAGTTGTTTCGGTATCTTTTTCACGAATTGCAACGAGATCATCTATCGAATATCCATCAGACGTTATAACATCGTCTTTAAAATGAACATCCGCCCCGCTATCACTGCTACTTTCGTCAGAATCAATCATCTTGTCACTTTTTAGGATCAGTTAAAAGTGACGTTTAAAATTTCGTTACAAAAAAAAATCAAAGAAATAAAAAAAATGACTGATATGAAGACAATTGTTATAGATAATGGTACCTTCTCTGTTAAAGCAGGATTTGCAGGTACTAAAAAACCACATTTTATAATTCCAACAGTTGTCGGAACAGCAAAAGAAAATGCTGATATGGTTGGTATAAAAAACAAAGCGTATTTTGTAGGAAATGAAGCTCTTGCAAAGGAAAATCTATTAAACCTCGTAAATCCAATAGAAAATGGTGTCGTGCAAAATTGGGAATTCCAAACGCAGCTTTGGGACGAGTTGTTTGCAAATCAATTTCATTGTCCACTGGAAGATGTTTGCATCCTAACAGGCGAAAAACCAGCATGTACACAGCAAAACAAAGCAAAAATGGCTCAAATTTTATTTGAAAAGTTCAACTGCGGAGGTTTTTCGTCAATACAGCAATCAGTTCTTTCCTTGTTTTCCATTGGACGTAGAACTGGCCTTGTTTTTGATAATGGCGAAGGTTTAGGATCAATTGTTCCAGTTTACGAAGGATATACGATCCCTCATGCAATTATTCATACAGAACTATGCGGTAGTTTCCTTACAGAAAACATGAAACGACTTATTACAACAAAAGATCCATCAACAGCTGAATGGAAGCTTGAAGAGTTCAGAGCAATGAAAGATAAGCTCTCATATGTTCCTATTGACTACCAAGCTGAAGAACAATCACCAGAAACATTCGAACAACTACGTTTACCAAGTGGAAAGTATTATCAAGTAGGAAAAGAGAGATTTATCTGCTCAGAAGTATTATTCGAACCAACAATTGCCAATAAGGAAGCAGAAGGTATCCACCAAATCATGTTTGACTCAATTATGAAGTGTGATATCGATATCAGGCAAGATTTGTATAAGAGTATCTTCTTATCTGGTGGAACAACGATGATTACAGGTATTGCAGAGCGAATTGAGAAGGAAGTCATTGCTTTAGCTCCTCCTTCCATGAAAATCGTTGTAATTGCTCCACCTCAGAGACGTGACGCTGTTTGGATTGGTGGTTCTGTACTCGGAACACACGAATTCTTCTTTGACGAGATGATGGTTACAAAAGCTGAATACCGCGAAGAAGGTGAAAATATAATTAGTTTGAAATGCCACAGCTAAATAACTTATATTTGTTTTATTATTTATCTTACTAAAAATTGTTAATTGTTTTACTAATTTTTTAAAAAATAATAATAAATTTAATTACCCTGGTTACTTAGCCCTAATTGCTATTAGGTACTTTTTACATCACCCTTTGCAACACCTAAAGCAGTCTTTCTAAATAGATTCATTGCTTCTTTATCAGCTCCAATAGAGATAAGATACTTAACAACTTCATAATGGCCGTTATCTGATGCACAAATGAGTGGAGTAGATCCTATATCATCCTTTGCTTCTTTATCAGCTCCAATAGAGATAAGATATTTAACGACTCCCAGATGACCCGTTTTTGATGCAGAAATGAGTGGAGTATATCCATTTTCATCCTTTGCTTCTTTATCATCACCAATAGAGATAAGATATTGAACAACTTCAAGTTCACCACATTTTGATGCATAAATGAGTGGAGTATATCTCCCTTTATTCATTGCTTCTTTATCAGCTCCAACAGAGATAAGATATTTAACGATTTCAAGATGGTCTTTTTCTGATGCATAAATGAGTGGAGTATATCTATATTTGTTCTTTGCTTCTTTATTAGCTCCAATAGAGATAAGATATTTAACGATTTCAAGAAGGCCTTCTTTTGATGCCCAAATGAGTGGAGTAGATCTCTCAGAATCCTTTGCTTCTTTATTAATTCCAATAGAGACGAGATATTTAACGATTTCAATATGACCATTTCTTAATGCACAAATGAGTGGAGTAGAATTTCGATTTTCCACTGCTTCTTTATCAGCCCCGACAGAGATGAGATATTTAACAACTTCAAGTTTATTATTCGAGGATGCTGTAATAAGTGGAGTATATCCAAATCCATCCTCCGCTTCTTTATCGCACTTACATTCGATAAGTGATTTAACAAGTTCGAGATTTCCTTTTTCACATGCTATATGAAGTACATTTTTACGACATGCTGTTTCCTTTTCCCAAAGTCCTTCTTCACAGGCTTTTTGAATCATTTCCTGATTTCTTTTTGTAGAAAGTTCCTCAAAGAGTTTGTAAACACTTTTGATATCATAAGATTTCTTAAGTTCTGCAATTTTAGTTAAAATTTCTCTAGAATGATTGGAACTTTCGTTAGTTTGATTGACATTTGTTTCTTTGGCCGCATTTTGTATTTGATTTTGAATTTCTTTTAATTTTTCTTGATGTTTTTGTATTTGTTCTGTAGAATCATGTGATTCTTTCTCTTTTTGATCCAAAATATTAATGATTCCATCCATTATTTTGAATTTCATGTACTTTTTGACAGATTTCAGAATTGAAACAACTTCTTCTTTGTTTTGGATCGTTACATTTGCATTTCGTGTACAGATAAATGAATTTTTGGCACTAATAGTTTTAGAAGATTGTTTAAGAAGAGTAATGTACTGAATTGTTGTTAAATTTGAATATTTCATGATTTTTTTGATATCTTCTATGTCAAATGTATTGAAGAAGTTTTCATTTTTAATATAATCGCTAATGTGAGCAGCAATGTATTCGTAATTCATATTCATGTAGTGTTGTTATATTTTTTAAATGTCGAAACTTTACAAAAAATCTGATTATAAAATAAATCAAAATTTGGAGCTTAGTATTGGGAAACTTTTCATCGATAAAGCAATGTAATATCACATTTGTCATTTTTATTTAAAATGTGCAACGTTATATGTTTTCTGTTCTAAAACAGAAAGTCTAAAGATAGAAATTGTAATGATTATTAAATAAAACAAACAATTTAATTATAATTTAAAACAAAATATAAAATAAAATAAGTTATTCTTCAAATGATGATGGAAGATGCAAAACAGCGCAAACTCCATTGATTATCATATCATCATAAGATAAGTCTCCTCTTATTGCCAGTCTTGCTACATAGTTATCTAATGTATTTGGTCCAATAGTAAGGAGAATTGGTACAATCATCATTTCGGAAGAAGAAGGTTGAGCTCTGAGATGCAAAGTAAACATCTTACTTGATGGTTTTGTAACTTTAGTTGGCTGCGACAACTGTTTGCTTCTTGGATCGAATCCCCAACCAACAATTGCAACTCCATCCAATGCCAAAGGTGAATCACTTGCGCGTTCTAACTCGAAAACAGCATCTTGTTCAGAGAAATTCGTTGCAACACTTGCACAAACAGCAGAAACCAAAGCTTTGACATCTGAGCAACTGTTTGCATCTATTCTCTTTGGAAGATTTCTTGTCTTGACACAGATATCGATGAACTCTCTTCTGGCTATCAATGCTCTGAAGAAAGCAGCAATTCTTATTGGTGCGTTGATGTGAGCTGCCTTTCCCCATTCAGGAGGACTTATGTCATTTGCAACGCACATGTGAGTGAATTTAGTTGGATTCTGGACTGATTGCTTCACAGCTTTGATTGTTTCGTTGTAGATTCTCGCTTCTTTCTTTGCAATAATTGATGCTGGAGAGGGAGCAAGAGTTAAAGGAATTTCGATCGGATCAGGAATAGTAACCAAAATGGAAGAAAGTTTCGCTGTTGAATCAATCGTTGAATCTCTTGCTAATGTCATAAATGGTTCACTTAACCATCGAGAAAGTGACCATGATTCAGTGATTGATGATAAACTTCTATCAACACACAAAACTTCATGAGCAGGTAAAACAGGTAAATGGCTGACAACTTCATCGTATCCTTTGTTATCTTTAGGTATAATCCATGGAGATCCAGCTGATAACTGTGACCTTGTGAATGTGAAAATGTCATCAGTTATGTCTGGATTTATGATTTTCTTCAAATGTGCAATAACTTTGTCGCAATCATCTTTGTAACAAAATGAATTTGATACAATGGATTCAGTGATTTTTCTCGCAGCAGGAACAGTGATTTTATCAAACTTAAGTCTTTCCATGACACTCTTAATGAGTTCGACATTGACGAACTGTGCATTGAACAAGCCACAAGGTCCAAGGAAAGCTCTTACGTTTTGGATTGCGAAAACTGTTGCAATTGCATAATGTAGTTGGAAATCTGTTGATGAACAGATAACTGGCTTCAAATGTCTCATTGTTTGTGCTACACATACTGGTTCTCTGGTTTGTAACACAACACAACGAGACATTACGGAATGAGGAATGTATTCTGATGTAGAACAAGAAATAATTAACTGGAATTTTTCATTTGGTGGTTGTGTATTTACTGCGTCAATGTTATCATTAATAAATGTAGCGATTGAAGGGTTCGGAGAATCATAATACACAATAACACGATTTCCATGTATTCTTGCTCTTGTTATAGCGCTTTTCATCAAAGTTAAATAATCGGATTCGATTCCATAAGTGAATTCCAAGCATTCTTCATCATCGATGTCCAATTTCAATGTTCTCCCTGTGTTCTTTAAAATGACTATTGGTTGGTCCAAAGGAATAGAATCCATAGGAATGGCTTCTAAGAAGTGTTCATCGAAATTGTCGCAAATTAATGATGTTGCCAATTTGTAAAGTCCCAAAATATTTACGAACTTCATTTGGTCGAAAGAAGATCTTCCTGGTTCAGGACCAAACATCTGTATTCTTCCATCATATTCTGCTTGAATGTGTTGTGCAATGACTTGTAAGTCACTTTCATGAGTAAATCCATGTCTGCAGTTGTTAAAGAATGAGCAAATGAGCATGAAGAAGATGGAATCTCTCATTGTCATCGATTTGAAGTATTTCTGTTCAACGGAAGCAATGAATAATCTTGGTAATTTCTCAATTTCAGTTACTTCAGAAATGATTTGATTTATCATTTCCATGTAGCCGGAGAAACTAAATGAATACAAATTGGAAACTCTTGGAAGGTATCTTGATAAGCTGAGCCACATTGATTCACAAATATCAATTGCGTTTTCGTATGGATGCAAAACAACTTTCTTTTTATCACTTAATTCTTCGTAATCAATATCTTCACTTATCAAGCCAATGAAAAGTTTCTTGACAGTTAACAAAGAAGTAAATGTTTCATTGTCTTCAACCAATACGTAATTGATATCTTCCTTTTGGTTGGTTCTTATATCATTAATTATTTCTAACAAATCCTTTTCTGTTGTATTTATTTCATACAACTTTTGCATTCTCGTCAAACAAGGATCAGCAATTGTTGACAATTCTTTCGTGTTGTATTTCATGATGAATGCTCTTTCGATTACATCTCTTGGGAATCCCTTGGAGAACTTAGAAAAGTCCACAGGAGTAACAACAGATTTCAAGTTTTCTGGAACATCATTCATTGGCAAAGGAGTGAACAAAATCAATCTAAATTGTTCAGAAACTTTGACTTTTCTTTGTCCAATGTCGAAAGTTGCTTTTCCATCATTAGATCTCGCCATTCTAAGGAAGAATTGAAGGTTCGGAGTAAGCTTTTCAACATCAATAATGATCATTGTCAATCCTTTTTCAGCTGCTTCGTTGAATTTATCCATTATATTCGATGTTTCAAGAGAAACTATCATTCTTTCCGGTTTAGGAATTGTTTTTAGAACTGAATCGAAAATGTAACTATCATTATCAGAAATCAATGGAGTTCTTGGCGAATGGAATGCCAATCTCGTGAATAAAGTGAATTTCAAGGATATTCCCATATCCGAAACCTTGATGTCTTTCTCTGCATCCAAACTACAAATGACTGAACCAATGATTTCATATGGATTCATCTGAGAACATTTAACTGGCAAATCATTGATAGCTTTAACAACATCGTCAATGAGATTGAAGTTGCAGCCACCATATGTCAAGAAGAAAGCTGTTAAAACGGAATTTCTGAAGTTCTCCGTTTGTTGTTCGACTTCTTTTGAACTCATGACCATCCATCTGTCATTTAATCGTGAGAGTTTATCGACCAATTCATCCATTTCGTGTCTTTTTGTAACTAACGCGTTGTAGTCACTGTTCTTCGCGTTGTAGTTGGATTTATTGTTCAATAAATCTTCTTCTTCCATTTTGATTTCGTGGAGAATTTCGAAGATTGAATCTTTTTCAATCTTGTAATTTTCCAAAGTTTGATTTATTACGAGTCTTTTATTGGCTGTATCTTCATCTTTCTGTTGGAGATCTGATGAAGCATGTGCTGCTTTGCACATCTCAATTGCGTAGTCTGTTAATTGGTTAACAAAAGTACTCATTGATGTCAATTCATCGTAATTTTGAGTTATCAATTTTTCTGCATTTTCTGCATTATTTGACAGCTTTTGGATAGAAACTCTCTTTTGTAATGTCAATTTGATGTTTGAATCTGTTGCCAATTGACGACCGTATGGTTCGAATTTCGGTGGATCTCCCATGAAGAAACAAAGTAATTCGAACAATCTAACAAAGAATCTGTTCGTGAAGAAAGAATTTAATTGTTGAGGAGCACTTGAAACTTTGTTTAATGCTAAAGAAGCATTTCTTTGTGTATCCACTGATAAATTCTTTGCTTCACCGAGTTGTTTTTCGAGTTCTTCAAGTTCTTTTGTCTTCTTTTCTTCCTCTTCTTTAATAATATTGAGGCGTTTTCGAACAGAAGCTTTCTTTTCTTTGAGTTTCGATTCTTTGTCATCGAATTCTGTATCTTTATTTTCAGAACATCCTTCCAAGTTTTTGATTTCTTGTTCCAATTGAGCGACTTGGTTCTCAATTGTCATTACGAAATCAATTGATTCATTAGCCAAATGGTGTACATGGCTTGATTCAAATGAAAGATGTCTGTAAACATATTTAAATGTCCTCATGAAATCGAAATATCTCGTTAAAGGAGTGACTCTTGAAACCAACCTGAAAACCTTGGAAATAACATTAAATAACTGGTTTTCTTTGTCTTGGACAATCTCTTTGAGTCCTGGACTCTTTATCAAATCCTCTGCACATGATTGAGAATACTCAGTCAAATTCCTTCCGAAGTAAATTGTTGGGAAAATATTTAATGATTCATCATTAAATTTGTCATCAACACTGAAAACAAAATGAATTTTATCATGAATTTCCCATGATACTTTCTTGTGACATTCTATATTGGTAATATGAGAAGATGTGAATTCCTGATATCTTGTTAATAGATTTAAGTATTTTTCAGGGCCAAACAAATCATAACAATTACTATAATAAACAATGTTGTTGATAATTGATCTTCCTTTTTCATCCAATTTTGCATAAGGAACTAAAATTATTGCTTCTTTTGTTTTGAGAACACTTGTTCTGATAGTATTCGCTAATTGTTCACTTGATTTCTTGTTGTCTAATGGATCATATTCCATAAACAACATTTCTCTTGCTGATGCAATGAATCTGCACATCGTATGTCTTCCAATTCCATCTTTTCCTTTCATTATAACTGAACTTCCTGGGAAGAATGTTCCTCTGTAAAGTAAAACATAATCTTTCAAAATCGGTCTGTACAAAACAGTGTCAACAGCAATGTCTGCAGGTGTTGATTGCATGTTTAGTACGTATTCGAGTTCTTCTCTGAACAATTCAATTGGATTTCCAGTGTAATTAATTGTTGTCAAAGAATCTTTTGCAAATTCAGGGAAGACATTTTTAGTTCCATCCATAATTGTTAGGAAAATGGAGAGAACGTGTGGTTCAGTGACAATTTGTCTGAAGCAAGTGTTGAAATTCTTTATGTCTTCAATATCCATGTTATGTGTCATTAAGAATCTGAAATCTCCTAACAATGTTTGCGCTGGTTCTAATGAATCTGAATTTAGTGGTTTTGATTTATGTTGAGAAACAGAAATTGCATCCAAAATCCTCATGAAATGGAATTTGCCTGGAATATTCTTCATCATGTAAAGAGCAACTTGTGTATATTCTTTTTCTACTCCAAGATGTTCTGCAACGGTTGTCAACATGAAATCAATTGTGTAGATTGTCAAAGAACTGAAATTCATCAAATAAAACCTTGAAAGGAATCTAGCTGGAAATCCTTTGTATGTCTTACTTGTTACAATGATTATTGCGTTCTGGAGATATCTGTTCTTTGTACTTGGCAATGATCTGATGTATTCCATCACGTGAATCATTGATGGATCTAAATTGTCAAAAATCAAAGCCAAACGAGGAATTTCTAGAACAGGAACTCCTGTTACTCTGCACATCTCGATTGTTCTGTCGATGTACTGAGAAATGGAGTTCTCTGTGCAGAACTTGTTGACAGGAATTGTTAATGGCATAATCTCAGGATGTAACTTGAAAAATGTGTCAACAAAATAGGTTTTTCCGCATAAAGAAGGACCAATTATCATTAAAGGAATTTGGTAATTCATCATCAACTCGAATTCGTAAATGTAAGGGATATATTCTGGTAAAACAACCATGACGTTGTCAGGAAGATTCATGTGGTCTTTGTCGATCTCTCTTTTCTCGAAAATCTTTCCGAGATTCGTGAAAGAATGAGGAACAAATTTTCCTTTGTTTACAACACATGATTTCAAAGTTGGCTTCGGAAAAGCGTCCCAATATGGTTTTGGAACATCGAACAAAGCCCAATCCAAAGGAACATCGAGTTTATACTTTTCAATGACCCAAGAGTTAAGAGCTGATGAACATTCGTAGCTCATCAAAGGTGAATACATCAAAAACAAAGAATGAATCATAACAGCTGCAACTTCTTCTTTGTTGTCTGAATTAAATGAAGGTCTATCGATATATCTGAAAGCAAGATTCAATGCGTATTCAGGTAATATATCAACAATCCATGATTGAAGAGATGGATCCATATCAGGCATCAACAAATTTAATTTGTTGACGAATGGACTCAAAAGTGAATAAAATTCATCTCTTATGTGTTTCAAGCCTTCAGGAGGACAACTGTTATGGACTTTGGCGCGTTCAAAGATAGGTATAGGATCACTTCTAATTGTTTGTGAATCGCGCATCGGAATAAATACAGCAAATGAAACAATTTGTGGTGTCACTTTTTCAATTGAATCTGTTTCAACAACTATATGAACATTTTCACAATTAAATGTTTCGTAGTTGTTGAACATGATGACATCTTGTGGTTTTGAGTTCAACATTCCTGTTAAATAAACAGAGAATTCATCAGTTATTGGGCCATTGAACTTAATAATGAATTGCATGTTGTTTGATTCTCTTATCTCTTTGAGAATTGGTGCAATGATTCCATCATTAAATACATGTCCATCTTTCTGATAATCGTACCATCCAAATGTTTCATTTATCGTATTCGCTGCATGGTAGATCTCGAAAACTTTGGTCGGAATCTCATCTTCAGTTTGGTTAATTGCGTTGACAGCAGCTTCTACAATTGATGACTTACCACTATTAGATGATCCATAAACAAATACACATTTTGTAGTGAAAAGTAATCGTAAGAAATCTGACACTTTTCCTTTGACATATTTGTCCATGTCGTGTGGTATTTTTTCTTCGATTTTTTCACATCTTCTTTCAATGAAATTGCCCATTCTGTTTGGTAGATAGATGTGGAACATGTTGAACTCACTTGTTGGATAGAAAATGTCATAAATAATGTGTTCCAACATTGGTATAAATTCAAGTGAAGTGAAAGCTTGGAAATGATGAAAAGTTGCCCATGCCAAAACAAAATCTTCGTTTTCGCTTGTTTTAGCAATTTCTATATAGAGTTTAGCTATTTTGATGACAGCAAGAGCGTTTGTTATTGTTCCTCTGCATGGTAATTTTTCGAAAATCGCTGTGATTCTCTTGATACAAGTGATTAATCTTTCAGCAAGTAAATCTGAATTTCTAAATCCGTAAGCAGACAATTCGATGTTTGCTGCTGATTTCGCGTCAACTTCATTGATGACAATTGGTGCGAACTCGTGTTTAATTGTCTCAGGAACTCTCATTTCTGTTGGACCAGTTGCGAACAAAATAAATTGGTCACTTAATCTGACAGTGTAATTTCCAATTTCGTATTGTATTGGAAGGTCTTCTTTTGACTTTATGTCTCTGTAAATATCAGCAAGCATTGCAAGTGTTGATTGCGAATACCTCTGTATATCAGGGAAAACAATCCATGAATGGCATAATATTGCTCCTGCAACATTTCTCAAAACAGAAACAGAACTTGGATCATTAAATGAAGGACAAAAAGCGATGTGTTTTCCAAACATCGCAGCAACAGCTGATATCAATTCTTTCTTTCCACTTCCTGCATCACCAAGGATTATTCCTGCATTGTTTGACGCGATGGCTGCACAAATGTTTTCAATTGCAGTAAACTTCGAATTACAAATGAAAATTGGAGGAACATTTCCCCAATATTCATATCCGTAACTAAAGTTCTTTGAGCCAAACCAGACTTCGACTGTTGATGTTGCTTGTCTGTACCGTAATCTAACTCTGTTTTCCCAGAAGTTTCTTCGTTCAAAACCCGATGGAAACTCAATAATTTTCTCTAAAATATACAATTGGTAATTAATTATTGTAATTGCCGATGTTAATTTCGGATAAATGTATTTGTTTCTCGGGTTATAAAGCATTCTCGTGTATTTCTCTATCTTATCCTGTAAGTTCTTCCTGTAATCCGTAAATGTTCTTACATTGTTTTCAAAGTTATCGAAGCATTCTTCGATTTCTCGTGTGAATTGACATAAAGTAATAATTGTCATTACATATGTCGTTACACTTGAGAACCAGACTTCGCTTTTAGCATTCTTGTAATTGTACAAAGCGTCTGCCAATGCATTGACCATTCCTGCACGCATGTTTTCCAAGATTTGGTCACCCCAAGATTCAATTCCTCCGGCGCAATTCACGTGTTTCGACAGATTTAATATATCTGTGTTTGTTCCTTGCATTCCGTAGATTTTGATTCTTGGGAATGATTGTTCTGAATTCTTTAGGATGTCTGTTTCTGGGCCATCCAAAGCATGTGTTTCAAATGCTTTGATGTGCATGAACATTTTTGAGAAAATTACATTGAACTGATCGAAATCAGTTGTTGTAAATAATCTCATGACTTCGTGATTACTCAAGAAGAACAATCTTGGAAAGATGTATCTCTTATGATCAATGAACTTCAAAACACCTTTCATTATATTGATAAGGAATTCATTGTTTTCTCTAAGCATTTCCAAAATCGAAGGGAATTCGCAAATATGGAATAATGTTAAATTATCAGCTGCATGACGAACTAATGACATCCATCTTCTTCTTACTCCAATGAACTGTGAAGACAAAGATTGTAAAGCTTGGGCTGTATCCTTCTTTGAAAAGAAGACATTTAAAACAATCCAGTTTTCTTGGAAAGCTTTCCATGCAATTAAAACATTCGAAAAAGTATCTAATGTTGCTCCAAGTGCCAAAACATTTTGTTTGAGGCCTTGTACGTATTGTCCTGAAAGCATTGTTTGCACTGTATTCTTTCCACCTTCTATTTCCTTAAGTATATCTTTAATATCGCCAATCATGAGGTTATCATCTGTTTTTGTCTGTGTTTCGTCAATTGGCATTTTAACTTCTTTCCAATGCTGTAATAATACTTTGTATTCTTGTTCAAGTTGGTTCTCTCCTTGCGCTGTGGCTGTGATCTCTTCAATTTTGGCTGTTTGAGAGAGAATTCCTTGATGCATGAGCTCATCAATTTTAATTTGCTGGAAATATCCTTTGGGATGACCACATTGTTCGAACAAAATGTTCCAATGATTGTAGTTCATCTTACTATTGGCCAATGTCTCAAGAACTTCTAAGTATGGAACGATGGAATCGATTTTTACTGTTAAATCATCAACTAATGGCAAAGGAAGAGAGGTTTTGAGGTTCATTATGATGTCATTTAGATCAGTAACTTTCTTGTTGAACTCCATTATATTGATGGAATTGAAAGGAACTGTTGTTATGATGTTATCAATCTCATGCCATTTGGAAACTGCTTCGTAAGCAACGAGCAACTGCTTTATTTCATCTCTGACTTTGTAGAAATCGGATAGATCGGCTAAAAATGCCTTCATGATGTTCTGTGAACGGTTTAATAAAGCAATTTCGGTTTCCAAAGAGTTTATTTCGTTCAATAATTCTTGGGCATGGTTTGCATCATCAGGAAGCATGACATATTTGATTTCTGGTGGACTTTTATGAAGTCTTTCGTCGAAATCCAAAATCTTCGCTTGAGCAGTTTTGATTTTATTGGAAAGCTGAAGGGTATATGTGTTCCTCATTTGGTCAGCAACTGAATTTGCGTTGGTTTGGTCGTACACGAACTGTTTTAACAATGCTCCTAAAGGAGATCTTCCGTGAGCTCCTCTTGTTCCATGGAATTCGAGAGTATCTAACAAGTGGCTTAACTCTTCAACAAAAGTGGTCTCGATATGAAGATATTTACTGAGTTTCTCCATAAGTTCGTTGAATTCGCAATTATCAACATATTGAATTAACGATTCTGGTTCCTTTTTAAGCCTCTTTGAGCAAAATCTGAAGATTGCGCCCATATGTTCGATCTTGTTTGTGAACAATTCTTTGAGACATTCTTTTATTTGTTGCATAGAACGAGCAGGAATTGGAGTTAAGCATTGCCTGAGATTTTTTGAGTTAATATAAATGGATCCTTGAACTGTGCATGTTGTAAATTCATTAATTCTTACATCTTCTTGACGGAATTTTTCAATATCATCTCTGATAACTCGGAAATCAACGATTAATTCTTCCGATGGATTATAATTTATTTGGGCTGCCTTTCTATCATAATCGCTGGCAAATTTCATCAAATCAAAAACTACATTGTCTCCGCCACGCAATTTAATGTAAGATTTCGGAGACCATTCTTTTCCACGAACAAATATATCGTAGAAATTTTCGAATCCACGGCTGTGTTCGTTAGATGAAATATATGATTCTTTAACTGAATTCAGAATGCTGTTTTTGATGATTGAGAACTGTTTGTTGCAATCTGTGTATTGCTTAAATGTTGGGCATTTGTCAAAATATGCTTGCAAATTTCCATATTTCTTCATTAAGTGAGGTCTAAACTTACTTGAGCCAATGATACGAGGAAGACCATCTAAAATTAATATTGATTGGTCTAACGCTTGTCTGATAACTCCAAGTAATTCATTTAATGAAGGAGTGAAAATTACTTTTCCATTAGCATCATATGAGACTTCTACTTGGAAAATAGATGATAAAGATTGCAGTACATATGTTTCTGCTTGCTTCCAACAGTTCAAACAAAGCTTATGGAGGTTTTCAAGAATAAAATAATCTGCAATTCTGATAAATTCGCAGAAATCAAAGGTTTCTTGCTGTACTTCTTCGCTCCTCTCTGCTTTGATGATCTTCATTTTGCGAGCAACTTCAGTTAAATAACCTAAATCTGGAAATACTTTTTGGCTCTTATCTATTTCATTAATTTTGACGTTAATACGTTCAGGATCAATAATGTCTGCTAAAAGATCCAAGATTGCACCCATTACTTCTTGTAAATATTCTCTATATTCTTTATTTAATTTTTCTTTATTAAAAGCAAGAGTATTTCGGAATTCTGCAATTGTAAACTTCTTTTGTGGGATAAACGATAATAAATAATTGTTCAAAATGTCAGAACATGACATATTTACAACTTCAAGTAATGTTGAAAAGAAAGTTGACTTAGAAAACAGTGTTTTTGTAACAATTTTATTACGTATTGCTGTAAATCTGCAGAATCGAACGTATTTTTTCCAGATTTGGAAATTTTTCCAATACTTGTAATAATGGAAGAATCTGAGCTTTCTAATTGAGTCAAATGATGATTTTTCGAGTGACCATGTGTCTAAAGGAATTGTATCTGTATTTCCTTCTTCATAAATATGAGTTACGCCACTCGCTGACATTGTGAAGTATTCTGGTGTAATTTCTGCGTGAGGAACTTTCATTAAATCGTATGGATTGAAATTTTCGTCTGTTCTTGGTCTTGAAAAGATTAAATATATAAAATGATGACCTCCACCGTCTTTATGCTTTGAAAAGTATGAAATTGGATCTTCTCTGAATCCTAATGACATTCTTTCTTCATTTGTTGACTCTTCTTGTAATTTTTGCGTAGTTGTTGCTAAACTCGGTAAAGGTTTCTTCTTTTGACCGGGCGTAAGGAGCGAAACGTATTCAATAGGCTTTTCGAAGTATTTGTGACCAGTTACAGGTCTAACAGTCACTGGTCTTGTTCTTGATCTTTGTTGTTGACTGCTATTTCGTATTGCACGTAGTCCTGGCGTGCTATTTACGTATAATGAATCAGTGTGTTCTGGCTCTAAATCTTTTAAATTGTAATTTTTAATTGTTTCATCAAAAATTCTTCCTTGAAAAAGAGATTCTTCCTGTACATTTTCAATAGCTGTTTTAGGACGTGTTGCAGACACTGAACGTACTATTGGTGCATCCAGTGGAGTGTCCTCAGGAATAATACTCATCAATTAAAAAAATTTTGCTTAATTTTTTTTTCATCAAGCAAGAGAAAAAAACGTGTTTATGAGATTCTTAGATTATTAGTTTTTTGGAATATACTATTGATATACTTTCTATTTTTCATATTAATTCCTGTATATTTTCATTAAAATTTTAGAAATTTCGAATTTTAAAAAAAATCGATTGAATATTTTTATAATAATAGAAGTAAATCTTTAAAGAGAAAAGTTTAAACACGCTTGTAAACTGCGGCAGTTCTGCATGGGATGTAGAGGATGATCTTGTTCTGTCTGCATTGCCATGGTTCTGGGAATGTCTCGTGGATGACTGACTTATCGATTGTGCTGTGTCCACCGAATTCTTCATCATCAGATGAGAGGATGCACTTGTACTTGCCTGGCCATTCGATACCGATAGCGTAGTCAGTGAATGACTTGTGTGTGTGCATGTTGAAGACGAAGAAGAGCTCACCGCGTTCGAAAGCGATGACCTTGTCTTCCTCGTGCTTCAATGTGATGTACATGTGGCCGGACTCCATGAACTTGTAGTCGTGTTCGAGCTTGATCATGGCGTTATCGAAAGCGAGGAGGTACTTGTATCTGAGGTGGTCTGTGAATGGTAAGTCGAATCTGCGGCAGCAGTGGAGGAATGAGTTGCCGTTGCCCTCACGTGGGAAGTCGATCCACTCTGGATGGCCGAACTCGTTACCCATGAAGTTGAGGTAAGCTTCACCACCAAGACCGATTGTGATGAGGCGGATGATCTTGTGGAGAGCCATACCACGAGCTGTGATCATTGACTCTGGCTGGAGGCAGGACATGTTTGTGTACATTTCCTTGTCCATGAGCCAGAAGGCGATTGTCTTATCACCGACAAGTGCCTGGTCGTGGGATTCGGAGTAAGCAACTGTCTTCTCCTTGTATGGTCTGTTGGATAACTCGAAGGCGACATTGCCGACGTTCCAGTCTTCATCGCGCTGCTCCTTGAGCATCTTGATCCACATATCTGGGCTGCTCATGCCGAGGCGGTAGTCGAAACCCATACCACCATCTTCGATTGAACGAGCGAGGCCAACCATGCCGGAGACATCTTCAGCAATGGAGATAGCGTTTGGATTGACCATGTGGATGACTGTGTTTGCGAGCATGAGGTATGTAACAGCCTCACGATCGACGAGGTCGCAGAAGTAGCAGTCGATGCTGTTGAATGAGTACATGTTTCCGTGGTGGAGGTACATCATGGATGTGACACCATCGAAGCGGAAGCCATCGAAGCTGTACTCTTCCATGTAGTATCTGAGGTTGGAGAGAAGGAAGCGCTGGACTTCTGGGTGGTTGTAGTTGAAGCAGCGGGAATCCCACAATGGGTGATAGCCACGGCCACCTTCGTGGAAGTACTGGTGATCTGTGCCATCGAAGTGGTTGATACCTTCAGCAACGTTCTTTGAGGCGTGGGAGTGGACAAGATCGAGGAAGACATGGATGCCCATTCCGTGTGCTGTATCAATCATGGACTTAAGCTCTTCTGGTGTGCCGAAACGTGATGAGATGGCGAAGAAGTTTGTAACCTGGTAGCCGAAGGAACCGTAGTATGGGTGCTCCATGACAGCCATGATCTGGATGGCGTTGTAACCGTCCTTCTTGATCATTGGGAGAACATTCTCTTCGAACTCCTTGTATGTGTGGATACGTGGTTCAACACCAGCCATACCGATGTGTGTCTCATAAATGAGAAGTGCACAGTCGAGTGGAGCTGGCTTTGGATGCTTGAAAACATACTTCTTCTCTGGATTCCAGAAGATACCATTGAAATCGATGTTCTCTGTGTTTTGGCGAACGTAGTTGATCCAGGCTGGAATTCTCCAAACTGTTTCGCCGCTCTTGAGCTTGAGGCAGCATTTAATCTTGCTGTTGTGTGGGATAACTGGGCCCTCCTTTGTATCCTTGAGGAAGAGTTTGAAGTGGCCGTATTCGTCTTCCTTTTCGCACTTTGTTGCTGGATCTTCACAATTCCAGTTGTTGAAGTCACCGGCAAGATATATCTCATCGGCATTTGGTGCCCATTCACGGTAAAGGATACCGCCTTCTACTTTGTGGACACCAAACTCTTTGTATGCTTGTGTGAATTTATCCAAGGAGCCAGCGATATCTTCGATTCGCTTCTTAGCTTCTTGGTATAAGTGCTGGCGCCATTCGAGACCGCCGCGCCATTGTTCGAGCCATGGGTTGTCTTTGATGATTTGCATAAATCAAAAATGAATCCTGACATCACTTCTTTTCAATACAAATTTCAAAACACCAAAATCTTTATAAGAAGATAAATGTTTGGAATGTATAAGAATGTTTATCTTCATAATCTATTGATTCTGTACCGGGTTGGTCATTCATGACTCAATTTTTCTGAGGAAAGTAACAGCTTTCGTGGTCAGAGTATTTACCATATTCCGGGTATTTCCAAAAAATTTTAATTATGTAACCGCGTTACACCCATTCAAATTTGAACAATCCTTTTCAAAATAAATAATTATCACAATTTTATCATGAAAGTTTAAAAACAATATTATATTCATTATTTGGATATATGTGAACTTGGTTTTGAATGAACCCTCTCATTTTTTAATATTCTCATAAAAATTCTATATAAAATTTGAGCGTATTTAGAATTAAGTTATTTCATCCGGTAGAAGGGAAAAGCAGGGCATATCAATAGACATCATTATTCTATATGTACTATGGATTTGTTTGCCCTTGTTTTGTTTATGTTTCTGTTGTTATTGCAGTATTATTTTTAGCAAAATTAATCAATTCGCTTAAAACTTTCTCTTGATGAGAAAAATCCTCTTAACTACCAAAATCATGTTCTTTGAATTACTTTTAAATGTCTAAAATTAATTTTCGAAAGAGAAAATTAGAGATTGGTAAATTGTTTCGGAAGAAACATACGATTAATAAAAGAAATTGCATCTCAAATGTATGTAAAGATGATTTACTATTAATTAATGTTGGTCTTGTTGGATTAAGAGTGTTAATAAACAATACGAAATATAGGCATATTTCAAATTCTACTTAAATATGAAGTTTAATGTTATAACAATAATTATTATGAGCATAATATATTATGGCAGTAACTATTCAATATCTTCACAAACTAAACTAAATAAATATTTTGAAATGAATTTGCTGTTTTCGTGATAGAATTACTATGATTGAGCTTATTATATAAGCACATAACCTATTAACTTTTGAATAGTTGTAAACTTTTTCTCCAGCCGGTAGGTTTCGATAATTATAATTACCAAAATTGATAATGACAGAGAAAACATTATCCATCAATAGAGTATTAACATCTTGGTGATATGGTGATTTGTAAAACCAATTTATATCATTGACCATCATGTTGAAATTTCTTCCTTTTCAAAATCGGCCAACTTATTATACCTAAGTTAATAATCATCTAATATTTCTTCCAAATATCTTAATTATGGCTATGGCATGAAATCGCGTTACAAAATATAACTCCCAACTTTTCTTTCAACAAAATTTGTCAAGAAAATTTGCTGATGGAATTTGTTGATGATCAATATATCTTGTGGCTATCTGGTTTCCCACGTGAAATTTGTATAAATATTAGATAATTAAGTGAAATTAAATTGGATCGATAATTAATGAGTTATTTTAAGAGGTAAAACAAAAATATTGTATTCTATTGGTGAGTGTGTAGCTGTTGAAGAATTAATATATGAAATTTTCAAAATTAAGAAATTCAAATTTCAAGTATCATATTGTTGAGTAGAATCTTTGTTTTATTTCATTTCAGTGTCGATGATTTTGAATCCTATGTTTGTAATGATGTCATATCTGTAACTCAATTTTCACATTTCGAGAAATTTTTCAAAATTCTAATTTTTTCACATAGGTCATGATGAATTATGGAATTTAGTTCACTTCAAGAGAGAATCCTTAGTAACCTATATTTTAAAGACTCTAATGCATTCAAAAACAAGCTACTGCAGATGTTGGAAAGAACTTAAATTCTTCGATTTTAGCAAAGTACTTAATTAAGCACAAGGCAATGGTTATTTTTGTCAAAAACTAAAGCTCATAAAATAAAAATCAATGATTTATTGTCATGGAATTGAAATTAAATCTGACTACTGAAATCCTAAGGATTTTAGATGGGGTCTTACATTGCCTGTTGCGACAGAGAGTGGAGATCTTCCATCTTTATATTTTGCATCTCTTTTAGCTCCGATAGAGACAAGATATTTAACAACTTCAAGACGGTCATTTGATGATGCTTTAATGAGTGGAGTATTTCCATTATTATCTTTTGCATCTTTCTTAGCTCCGATAGAGACAAGATATTTAACAACTTCAAGATAACCATTTTGTGATGCCCAAATGAGTGAAGTAACTCCTTCTTTATTCTTTACTTCTTTATCAGCTCCAACAGAGAAAAGATATTGAACAACTTCAAAATGACCATGTTGTGAGGCACAAATGAGTGGAGTATTTCCATATGTACTCTTTGTTTCTTTATCAAAGCCACAATCGATCAGAGATTTAACAAGTCTGAGATTTCCTTTTTCACTTGCAACATGAAGGACATTCTTTTCATCATAATTTTTCCAAAGTCCTTCTTCACATGACTTTGAAATCATCGTTTGATTTCCTTGAGTTGAAAGTTCATCATGCTTGTATAAAATATTATATCGAAAATGAAAAATATTGTATATTTTACAGTGAAATCTTCTTCTCAAGCTAAATAATGTAAAAATAGTTGAGAGAAAACCAAAAAGTTGTAAATGCTCTCTTAAAATCTGTCAAAATTTTTGATCAAAAAAAATTCATGTGTAGTATAAATCCTGGTGAGAAATTCGAGTATTTTACTCCTTACGAGAGATCGATGATAGAATTTATTTATTCTTATGATCCATACATTCTCGGTTTGCATCCAGAACGAAAGTTAACAAGATTAACATATGCAAGATTTTTAAAACGCAATGCTAGTGAAGAAATAATTAAAAGAGTGGATGTTAGAAAAAAGAATGAATATTTCTTATATGTACATGTTGGCCACAATTACAACGAACTCTGTTTTTCGTATGTCACAGAAACATTATGGAGAGCGAAACAGTTTCAGTTCAGAGCTGCATCAAAAGATGATTTTGGAAAATTCGACATATTCAAAGAGAAAATGAATATATACATTCAAGAACGGGAAGGAATTTTACCCGATGAAGAACTCGAAGAAATAAGAGAATTTGTTGATAAAGCTGACCCAGAAGAGTTCAAGATATTTGATCCTAAAGAACAAAAAATGGTTCCTTATGACGAAAAAGTTCTTCGAAGATTATTAATCCATATCAGAGACAAATGTTTTATACCACATTTTGGAACACAACAGATAGGAGTATTTTGCGACAGATTTAATGGAAGTCATTCGTGGTACTGTCGCATTTTATGTGGAATTGAATAAATCAAATAAAAAAATCTTTTTAAATTATTTTCACATTTTCATCTATATATAAGAGTTTTTTAAACCAGAAGTATAATAAAAATGCAACTTAAGCTTAAAAAGTTTAAATATCAAGATAATGTATCAAAACTGAATAAATTTTTTCTAATTTATGATACAATAAATGGTCTGGCATGTTAATCAGTTCATTAGTTCTAAAAAGGCCAAAGATTCATAGCTGGTTAAAATATTGTCGATATCTTTAGTAATGTTCTTATCATAACAGAAAAGATTCTGCAAAAAATTACAATGATATCATGTGTGTTTAAAAAGATTCTCATTTAAACCACTATGATATTTGAGAGATAGTTTATAAAATTTTTGCAGTTTTTATATAAAATCAAATTCCCAAAATAAAAATTAATGGTTATCTTACTATGAAATTGGGTATCTTAGTTAGAAAATGTCAAAATTTGAGAGAATGATTAATAACATAAGCAACTTCTTATAATTTGAAATTGATTTAAAAAAAATATAGTAGTTTTTAAACTGAAGTTTAAATTTTTAAAAGCATCTGAATGATATAGGCATGAATTTTGAGTTCAAAATAAGGAGAACTCATCATCCATTTGAAACATGTTGTTGGTATTTGTAACATTAAAAAAATTCTCTGTATATTCATAATCATTCTGAAGTGGATCAAATACGTCTCCATTAGAGTTAGTATTTGAAGGTGTTTCTGAAATCATTTCATGATCTGTGCTTTGGGGCAGTCCAAGGGTATCACTTGAAGGCTCAACTGCAACTGAATTTCGAAAATCGGAAATTTCTTCAGAAATACGTTCTTGAGGAGCTTGTTGTGCGTCACTTTGAGGATTTGCGTCTTTGGAAGTTTCAGGGGTAGTAACAGGCGGTCCTTCAATTTGTGTAGCTGTTTGTTTGGAATAAACTTCTTCTTTTGTAAAACACTGAATTACGTGTGGAGCCGTAACGCAGTAGGCAAATTGAAAGTCATAACCTTTTTTGAAATTGATGACCGTAATGTAAAATGAACCAAGGAGATTGGCGTCGTTGGTCTCGTATGAAATGACTTTAACAATATTGGGATCACATTGGTGAAAGAAGTTTGCTCTTTCATCTGGAGATGTTAATTGGAAAAAGTCTGTTGATGAAGCAACAGATGAACCCCAAGTTCGTGAGAATTTGTGATATTTGATTTGGGAGAACAAATCGCCGTACTTTTTCCAATTTTTTTGAAGACCAAGAATTGTCACTTGCTTGTGTTTAGTGAATTCTCTGGAATTATAATAGATATCAGGGTAGAGAAAATGTACGAAATTGAGCATGATGCAGACATCTTGCATAACAACTTTGTTGCTTTTGAAATGCTTGAGGGCTTGATTTTCAAGATCAGCATTCATAAGATCTTTATCACTTACAAGATCATTAAGGCAAGTTTCCAAGTTTCTTGCATCAGTGATGTGACCTTTTGATCTGTAAGCTTCTACAATGGCACGAAGATGGTTAAAATAGGACTGGACTAAGTTCTCTGTCGAGGTCAAAGGCGGTGACATACAACGAAAATAATGATTTTACAAAACCAAAATTTTCTTTCAATTTTCAGTTTACAAAATTTGGTTTAACTAGTATATATTTGTAGTAAATATTATTATTCACTCATATAAATATATTTGCAATGAAACGTGACATTTTTCCAAATTGAGAGAGTTGTAAATTGATAGAAATGAATGTGAAGTGCCCAAAAGTGAAATGAAAATATTAACTTTTCTGATGTTTTGTCATGGGCGTGAAAATTTTTGCTTTTAATAATCGGATGCTAGAGAATTAATTTCGAAGTGAATCCGCAGCGACTAAAGGCTGGATTTATCAGATACAATGCTGTATAATTATAATAAGCAAAATTTTCATTATATTTTAGTATTTGCCTTATAAATGCCTCAATCTCATGGTGTACTACAACTGAGGATGCCACCCATTATCCACTTGTTATTTTTCCCATTTTGAGTTTTAAAATATGAAATATGAAATTATATGAGATAAAAAATAGTAGTATATTCAAATGTTGGCATATTAACAGTCCTAAATACATAGTAAACGCATATGTGTGTATACATTTTATTGTACTCTGAATATCTGAACAAAAATAATCGACAATCTGGTGCTGACATCAAAGGCAAAAAATCTGTAGCTTTGATACAATATCGTGACATTTAAGCTGCATTTTAATTATACCCATGACTTTAAAAAACTCTTATATATAGATGAAAATGTGTAATTTAAAATTATCTTTTATTTGATTTATTCAATTCCACATAAAATGCGACAGTACCACGAATGACTTCCATTAAATCTGTCGCAAAATACTCCTATCTGTTGTGTTCCAAAATGTGGTATAAAACATTTGTCTCTGATATGGATTAATAATCTTCGAAGAACTTTTTCGTCATAAGGAACCATTTTTTGTTCTTTAGGATCAAATATCTTGAACTCTTCTGGGTCAGCTTTATCAACAAATTCTCTTATTTCTTCGAGTTCTTCATCGGGTAAAATTCCTTCCCGTTCTTGAATGTATATATTCATTTTCTCTTTGAATATGTCGAATTTTCCAAAATCATCTTTTGATGCAGCTCTGAACTGAAACTGTTTCGCTCTCCATAATGTTTCTGTGACATACGAAAAACAGAGTTCGTTGTAATTGTGGCCAACATGTACATATAAGAAATATTCATTCTTTTTTCTAACATCCACTCTTTTAATTATTTCTTCACTAGCATTGCGTTTTAAAAATCTTGCATATGTTAATTTTGTTAACTTTCGTTCTGGATGCAAACCGAGAATGTATGGATCATAAGAATAAATAAATTCTATCATCGATCTCTCGTAAGGAGTAAAATACTCGAATTTCTCACCAGGATTTATACTACACATGAATTTTTTAAATCAAAAATTTTGACAGATTTTAAGAGAGCATTTACAACATTCTTGTTTTCTCTCAATTTTTTGAAAATAGAAACGCAAGGCATGTGTGTTTTAAAGATTTGATATAATATTATAACATGACATTCACATGCTTGTATAAAACATTATATCGAAAATGAAAAATATGATATATTTTACAGTGAAATCTTCTTCTCAAGCTAAATAATGTAAAAACAATTGTAATTTATGATACTAGTTTTTTCTAACTTCCTCATGAGCTAGAAATGGTCTATTATGTAAGGTTACATCGAAAGTATCCTAATTGTAGTTCATTCGTTCGAAAAATGCCAAAGATTCTAAGTTAATTAAAACATTGGCGATATCTTTAATAATGTTCTTATTATAACAGAAATAAAATGTTCTGCAATAAAATACAATGATTTCATATGTATTAGGAAATGTTCTTATTTAATCAAGATTCTTTTCAATGTAATACGTTGTTGAACGTTTTCTAGAATACAAATGTGAAGAATACGCGGATAATAAGCGAATTTTTATCTGATTTTAGTATCCACCTTAAATATACCTCGATCTCGAAACTCAGAAATAAATTTAAGCTATACAAATGTCCCCATACAACAAAAACAAAGTATACGATGATCAGATCGGAATTTTTTGAAACAACAATATTGATTTTTAATAGAAGAAATAACGAAAAAAATCAGAGCAGATCATAAAATTATACGAACACAAATAATTTTTCCAAGGTCTTTGAACATAGTCACTCGCATTCTGTTAACTATAATGAACCAATAAGGAATGTGGAAGAAAATAAATGCGCCATATTTTTTTTCGAGCAAAAGGCATATTGTCACTTTTGTTTGGTCTATCATAAGAAATATGGGTGCTTTCACATATCTCCGTGAACTCTACACCAAGAAGCAGAGTGAAGTTATGCGCTTCATCCTCCGCCTTCGCTGCTGGGAATACCGCCAACTTCCAGAGCTTGTCCGCCTTACACATCCATCCCGCCCAGATAAGGCTCGCCGCATGGGTTACAAGGCCAAGCAGGGTATGGTTGTCTACCGTATCCGCGTACGCAAGGGCTCCCGCAGGCGTGTTGCTTCTAAGAACCGCCAATATGGTAAGCCACGTACACATCATATCTACAAATTAACACCATCCCTTAACCTTCAGGCTATCGCTGAACAGAAGGCTGGTAAGCAACTCCCATCCCTCCGCCTCCTTAACTCTTACTGGGTTAACCAGGATGGTGCTTTCAAGTACTTCGAGTGCATCTTTGTTGATCCAGTCCACCCAGCTATCCAGCATGATGCTAAGCTTAACTGGATCTGCGACTCTGTCCATACACGCCGCGAAGCTCGTGGCCTTACAGCTGCTGGTCGCAAGCACCGTGGTCTCAGTGGTGTTGGCCATGGCTTCCGCCATCTCCGCCCATCACGTTATGCTGACTGGAAGGTTCGCAACGTCTTCAAACTCCGCCGCTGGCGTTAAAAGCTAGATAATGGGCCATAGAAAGACCCAGAGCTTTATTTTACTACCTTTCGAACTAAAATTCGAATTATACCTGGATTATAGCTTACAAATTGTTGAATTTTTTAATGACATGATTTAATTTAAACATTCAATGTTCGGACATAAAAAAACTTGTTGATCAATATTCGAAAGTATTGTTAAAGCTATGGCATTTTATAAGTCGCTTCTATATGCAGGTATTTGATCAGATACAAATTCCAAGATCCATAAAATATGGTCATTTCCTAAATTTAATACAAAAATAAGAAAGTACATGCACCCAAGTATAGTTTCAATTCAGTTTTTCCTTATTAGCAAGATTGACTTTTTCCTGTAGATTAGTCAATATTGAAAAAATTTTTCCAAATTTTTTTTGGTAAATGAGCATCACTATCAAAGTTCAAACACTCTCTGGTATCTCACGCTATATTAAAGTCGAGCAAACAGACACAATTGAAAAAATCAAGAGCCAACTCTACAGTATGGATGGCATTGCTCCAGATCAGCAAAGAATCTTATACAAAGGTTTGGCACTTCCAGATACAGCTACAATCGAATCCAGCGGTATCAAAAACGATGAAACTGTTCATATGGTTATCTCATTAAAAGGTGGAATGTAAATTAGTCATAATTTTACTCCATCTTTCAATACGATTACCTAGAGCGCATATTGACTAATAAAATTAAAAACATTATACATGAATAACATTATTTTGCTATAATCTAAAGATATAATCAAATAAACATTTTGATATATTTGATTTTCTGGACAAATTACTCATCAAACTATATGAAATTGAATCATTTTCTAAATGGGCATAGATTTGAGTCTAAATATTCAAAATCCTCTATAAATTATATTAATTAAATGAAATTTGGATGAATTATTATGTTATTTGGTCATTTCTGTTAGATTTAATAATTCCATTCACAGCACAATTCGATAATTAATGTTATCTATGAACAATAGAATAATTTTATTGATGAAATGTTTCCTAGTGAAGGGAACTGTATACATTGGAAAGACAAATCATATAAATACAGAATATTTTTATTTCAGTCTATAACTAAATATAAAATATTGAAATGAATACTAAGAGGAAACTCTATGTATTCAAAACAATAAGTTAGTCATTCTTCTTATCTGATTTTTCAGCTCCTTCTTTCTTTTCTTCTTTATTTCCTGATTTCTTGGAATTTCTGATGTCAGAAATGATTTCGCGGGCTTCAATAACCTTGTATGCGAGAATGAAGAATCCAACAAACACTACTGGCTTAAGAACTTGCCAAATAGAAGGGAATTGTGGGGCAGGTGTCTTAAAGAACCTGTAAACAGATGATATGTTCTTATCTGGTCTAAATACTTGTAGCTCGAATGATTGGAAATCATAAACTATCATCTTAAACGTTTGGCTATTGTTAATCCATTTTCCGTATGCGTGGGGGAGATTTCTTTTGCCATAAATCATTTGGGTATCGCATATTATCTTAGTAAATCCTGGAGCTGTGTTATTTTCTATAACAAAACCTTGTGTTTTGTTGTTCACTCTAACAATTATGTTCATATTAGGATTGACACCTCTGAGAACACCTGTAAGTGTCTGGTTATTATCTTGATTAGGTGTAAGTGTTAAATTGTATAAAAAATTTTGCTGATGATAAACTCCATATTGATCAACGTATCCACCAGTTGCATTCCAAAATCCCCTGGCGAATATAGCAAGATCTAATGTTTTATTGACGCATGCACATGTAGAAAAAAATGAGAAAAACATCGAAAATAATTAGTCAATAAAGGTGACATTGGTCGATTTACTTTTCCTCTTATAACAACAATTTTCGAAAATGGATTTAGATTATGTTGTATGTGTTTAGAAAAATTTACTATTTGGATTAACCAAAAGACTCAAATAATTAAATTCAAAATTGCCTAATCGATGTTTTATGGGTTTATCTTATATGATATATTGCACCTGTCCAATTATAAGATATTTATGTGCTCAATTTTACTTATTTTTTCATTAATATGTTCATTTTTTGAAAAATGATTAAAAATTTTTTCATTTCTTGAGGTCTAATTGCATATTTTCGAAAACAAATTTTCATGGCTTATAGGATAATGTATAGGAATACTATAAATATGATTGAATAATTTTTATATTGAAGTTTTAGCATGTTCTTATGATATGTTCGTATTTTGGAGATTGTTTAGGATAATGTTATTCGATCATCAAATCCCTAGATGGAGGTTAGTGTTTTTTCGACCACAATCAATTTGAGAGGGAAAAAAATTGGAAAAAGTGACAGATGTGATGGATTATGAAAAATTTTGCACTAAACTGGAAGAATCTGAGTCCAGCGATACTTCAATCTCACTTCCATCATGGACTCAACTTCAAGAATTCAGAAATTCATATCTACAAGAATGTGTAACATTTATTACTTCTTTATTATGCGATGCTTCAGTAAATGAGCATATCAAATGCTTGGCGATGATTTTAATAAGAAATTTTTATCGAATTAATTCGAATGCAGGCTCAATAATGGTCAGAAGTTTATCTTCAGAAACATTTGATTCATTTTTCAATAGTTTATTAGCATTATTCGAATACGAGAATCTCCAAGTTGTTTCAATCGCTTCGTCAATCGTTTTTCATTTATCTTCGGGCGAAATTCAAGAAGATAACTATATTCCATTAATCAGCAGCTATGCCGATAATCTTCAGAAAACAACCAACCCGTACATGGTCTTTGGCTTCAGTTGCCTCCTCTTTTCTATTTGCCAAGAGTTTTCTTTGCCAAATGAAGTTAATTTTACAATTTTATCGGCGATCTTCCAACAGTTAAGTTCTGGATCACTACCACCTGTAGTAGCCAGCAGGATCATTGCCCTCTTCAGATCTTCAGTCCAAAAATACCCATCTGAGTTCATGAGGTCCCAATTGTTCTCAGACGTCCTTAACATGCTTATAGATTTAACTACGCTTCCAGGGACAAAAGTTGAAAGCCTTTTGGCGTGGGCAGTTATTATATCTCTCAATACTCCTTTCAGCAGCGACATTCTCTACAAAGTCGGTGAAATATCTCTTAACGAGATGCATGAATCCGTCGTAGAACCTGTTCTAAATGCAGCAGCAATCTTTTGGGCAGATGTTGCTAGAAAATTCAAAGAAACTACCGCAGAACTCACTCCTTACACAGAACCATTACTTCGTGGTCTATTCCGATTACTTTGTATACGTACTAGCGACCACGCCCATGAAGATCTCGACGAATTACCTCAAACTAGCTTACACACGCTCAAGACCTTCGTAAAAATCTCCCCAGTTACATCAGCACCTCACATGGCCGATATTATCCTCGAACATATCAACAGCCATGAAGTTCTCGAGGTAAATGCGACATTAATTTTCTGTGCCGTCCTTGTGAAGGCCAGAATCAACCCCGGAGACCATATGTTCGAAGAGCCGATCGATGAGACCATTGCACCATCCTCAGAAGGCATTTATGACGATCAAATGTCAGATCATCCGATAATTAAATTCGGAGAATCGATGTTTGAAGAGCCAATCGAGGAATCGACTGTCATAAACCTTGTAGGGCAGGCCCTGCAGTCGGGAGTCCCTCTCCTGACCTACAACGGCCTCTGGTGCATGAGATGTATTTTACGGGCGACTGTAAACCCATATCCGCTTGCTCCTTACATACCGATCGCCTTTGAGATCCTCGAAGGTGAAGCCGATATGAACTGCAAGCGCCAGGCCACGTTGTTACTTTCGACGATTGCATTTGCATCGGAACTTGGGTATCAGATCCAAGCAACGGCTGCTGCAATGGAATTGGCGAAGTGTAATGACGTTATCCTATCAAAGGATGCTTTCAGATCCTTAAGAAGAATTGGAGATATAGATGATTACCTTGAAAACCCCAATTCCCCAACATTAAGTGTTCACAAAGCCATTGTACCTGAACTCCTCTCTTTCCTTAGCGATTGCATAAGCGATGAAGACCAATTAGTTAATGTCATTGATATTTCAACAGTTTTAGTTCCATATATCGTCAATTTAGGACCTGTACATTACCAGGAATTCGCTCCACAGACGATCAGCCTCCTCATGGCCGCTCTTCCTAAGACATGCGAAACTTTCCATCCTTTGGCCATCCTTGCAACGAATTTTCCTGAGATGTTCATGCCGTATTTGGAGCAGTTCGTCACCGCGTTGGTCGAAGCACTCCAGCAGAATGAGAATAACGATGCAACAAGCGCTGCTGCGGCAAATATGATGGACATCGTCTTGAATTTCGATATTTCTGGAGCATTACCCGATTTGATCGAAGCCGTTGCAACGATAATGGTTCACTGCGACCGGCCATTTAATGTTCTGAAGGATGTGGCCGATTTGGCAACGGATTTGCATCAATTAAGAGATATCGAATTCACTTTTGCCGGATTTACCCATTCTATACCATTGTTAACAAGTGCATTTGTGACTTGCTTGCAGGATCTTGATTCAGACAATGATTTGGTCGCTGCAAGATTTATTACTTTTTGTACATGCACAATTGATGATGCTTCTATCGATGAAAAGGGTGAAGCGATTTCTAATTTGATTGTTTTGATAGAGAAAGCTTGTTCTATTTGTAACAGGTATAATACAGATTTTATTAGCTCTATTTTGTTCTTTTTGGCAACAATCGGAAGAATTGATGCTGATTTTACTGTACAATTGGTCCAGGAATGCGATTATCTCTTGTCTAGACTCAAAGATGCAAGATCTTTCAAAGATTTAAGAAAGATAATCGATCAGCTACCTGATGGGTTAAAGGAAATGTTAGAGATTGACTAAAAATGTTTGTTTATGATATGAATTTCATCATTTTTTCTTATTATTTATTTTATTTTTCTATAAAAAATCATTTTCAACATAATTTTATGACGCAATTGTTATTATTAATCAGAATGTTTACATTAAATACTTGCATTTATAAAATTTAATCAAATTGATTTCGATAAGAAAAATATTCTCTATTTGAGACTAATCTCATCACTGATAATACTCAAATACTTGAAAATAACAATTATTATTATATAATGAATCAATAAATTCATGTGTTTGTATGTTATCGAGAATCGAAATCAGTATAGAGTTCAATGTTGTCATATATTAAATGAGAACACGATTTTCTTTGTGATGTAAAATCCCGAAATTGAATATTGGCTGAAATAATTTCAGAATCGTATTCGCAACAGAAATCTAAATTAAAATTGGAAATGAAAAAGGGAAATCGAAAGATCTCATCAAAATACGCATTATTCAGCTTGTTTTTGGAAGTAGACTTTTTCGAAGGCTGAGAAAACAATGAATTTTTTCAAGGGGTAGATGAACAAATTTGCCTTCAATTTCTACCGATCAAACGATTCATGGATGAAAAGTTTATTTTAATGTATACAATGTATATAACATAAATTACACTTTAGAAATTCGAAAACAGGATGCTCACAAAAAATTCAATGGGAATTCAGACGTAGAGAAACAATGTGTTGTATATCATCATAAAATCAAGATTTTTTAATTTTCTCGAGAGTGGCCCGATGCAAAATTTTCTTATGAAAAATAAATATTATTTTTTTAAAAAAAAATGTCCACCCCCGAGTTTGTTGATACAGGAATTAAGATCTACAACTCTCTTGGAGCAAACATTGTTCCCCTTAAAAGAGAAAAAGGCCTTCCACTCCGCTGCTACACATGCGGCCCAACAGTTTACTCAACATCTCATCTTGGCCATGCAAGAACATATCTTTCTTTTGATATGATCAGACGTATTCTTACTGACTACTTCAATATCCCAGTCCAGTGGTCAATGAACGTTACAGATATTGATGATAAAATCATTAACACTTTCAATGGCATGTCTGATGACAAGAAGGCCAAGTACGGAACAGCCCTTGGCTACTCCGCAGACCGCGAGAAAGCTTTCTTCGCAGAACTCGACACATTGAACATTCGTCGTCCAGACGCTCTTCTTCGTGTTTCTGAAGTTATCCCAGAAATCATCGAGTTCATCTCCAACCTTGAGGAGAAGAGCTTCGCTTACGAGTCCGAAGGCTCAGTCTACTTCGATGTCGAGAAGTTCGAGCACGATGGCCGCTTCGTTTATGCAGAGCTCGAGCGCCAGTCATACCTCGGCACAGCCAAGAGTGAAAACCCAGAAGATATGCAGGAGAAGAAGCGCAATCGTAACGATTTCGCTCTCTGGAAGAAGGCCAAGCCAGAAGAAGAGGCTGCTGGTCAATACTGGGAAACCAAGTGGGGACGCGGTCGTCCAGGCTGGCACATCGAGTGCTCTACAATGTCTGGCCTCTTCTACGGCCCACAGTTCGATCTCCACGCCGGTGGTATCGATCTCCGCTTCCCACACCACTCCAACGAAATCGCCCAGTCCCAGGCCAGATGGGAAAAGGTTCCATGGGTCCGCAATTGGATGCATACAGGCACACTCAGAGCTGCTAACGGTGAGAAGATGTCAAAGTCATTAGGCAACTTCTTCTCAGTTCAGGATGGTCTTCAGCACTGGAGCCCAGCTGTTCTCAGAATGATCTTCTGCCAATCTCACTACAGAAACCCAATGGACCTCAGTGAAGACAACATTTCACAGGCCCAGGTCAAGCTCTCCAAGATCACAAACTTCCTTTCCTCAATTGAGCCACTTACACTCAAGTCAATCTCCGAGTTAAAGCGTGGCTTCAAGCCAGAGGATAAGGCCTTCTCATACTTCATTGCTAAGACAGCAGAAGACATCGAGCGCTACTTCGCCGACGATTTCGATATTCCAAAGGCCGTCAACGCTCTTGTTGCTCTTATCGATGAATACAACAAGAACAAGGATGTCGTTATTGACTCCCTTGTTGTCGAAGCTGCTAAGCTTGTCCGCAGAATCATGGTCGTCCTTGGTTTCTCACCAGAGACAGTTCTTCTTTCACAATCCAACACAAACTTGAACGAATCCGGATTCCCACAGGCCATGGCCGCTTACAGACAAAACGTCAGAACAAACAACATCAACATGCTCAAGCAAGTCCGTGAACTCGCAAAGAGCTTAAACATCGACATGAAGAAGCAACCAGCAGAAGCTAACCCAGTCTACGATCTCCTCAAGCAACTTGAGACAGGTGTTAAGGAGAATATGACACAACTCGATACATTACGTGATGAATCTCTTCCATCCATCGGTATCAAGCTCGAAGATAACGCTAATGGTGTTGACTTCAAGCTCGTCGATCCAAAGCAGCTCGCTGAGGAAATCAAGACAAAGAAGACAACAGAAAACTTCAAGGCTCAGAGAAAGGAGCAGGAGAAGCAGAAGCAAGCTGAAAAGGCTCAGAACGAAAAGAAGCAGAAGCCAAAGAAGGACGAGAATGGCGTTCCTTACCACCCAAGAGAATGGTTCACATCACAGAATGATATCTACTCCGCATTTGACGAAAATGGCCTTCCAACAGCTAAGTTCCTTGAAGATGGTACATCTAAGGAATTGTCAAAGAGTGAAGCTAGCAAACTTAAGAAGATGTATAACACAATGCTCCAGGATTACAACAAGTACCAGGAACAGCATAAGCAATAAACTATAAATTGATCTTACTTTTTTTTATTAAATTATTCCATCATATTTTATCTTTTTTATTTTTTTCATTATACATTGTTTGTTACTTAGTATATTGTCACATAGAAGCATCCGTCTAAACTGAGTGTGTTAGAATTTGCCTATCAATCATCTTATCAGCATATGGAGATTGTTAACTTTTTTTTTAGGAAACTCTGAGATATTTTTTATTTTTCATTGTGAGTGATTTCTAATATATTCTCTTGAAAAAATGAACTGAACGGAAGGTTAAAATAATGAATTGGAGAGACCTGATTATAATAGAGTTGATAACATGATGTAAATGATGAGGTATATGAGAATAATTTGTTATCAGAGCGAAAATAACAATTTTCCTAGGCAAATCAACTAGACATGCTAAAATAAACCCTATCATTGATCAAATCTAAAGTTATATATTTCCAAAATTTTTTCAATTTTTTAAAAATAATCTAATATTTGTAGAAAATTGACTTGAAATTAATGAAAATCAAAAAAATTTGGAAATTTTAGATGTAAGAAATTGTACTATAATTCTCAAATAATTATTTTTACGTTAGAAGCAGATCATTTAACATAAATTCCATGTATTTAATTTTCCATTTCCAACAATTTCATATGAATTTCTTGAAAATTAATATTGCCTCTTATTTTAAATAATCTGTGTGCATGATTAATGCGTAATTTTTCTAGTTGAATGTATCTCAGGGGATATCTGAATAGAACATCATTTTTCAAACATAATAGTCATTGAAAGATCACTATAAGAGATTCAACAGTTCTGTATTCAGATCATTAACTTATTAGAGCAGATTATTTTTCATTTGAACAATCAATCAAAAAATTTGTCAGCCGAACATGATCAAACTCATTGTCTCAAAAAGGTTTATCTTATTTTTAAATTTTCAAGTTTTATCTATGACGTATTAAATTTTTGATATTCGAATTCGGTTTTTCTTAGCTTACTACTTGCAAAATATGAGATTATACACTATAAAATAGAATGCAATCTTCAGAAAGATTTGCTTTTATATTTTTCAAAACTCAAAATGTATGCTAATGGTTTCAATTGATTTGGATTGGAAAATTATATCAACAAAACAAATCTAAATATATATTATCAACCACATAGCTTTATCGGATTGGATCTATAAAATTTTGATTGCTGAGTTGAAGACTCACCTGTGGAATAGCCTGAGCACAATGGCAAAGCGTGAGATAATTCGTTAACTCTATTATTGGCCGGTGACTTAAAATAAGACATAAGCCAGTGACAAGAAAATATTTTTCACGCGCTTTTTTTTGATGGGGAGAATAGCATTATCTCTATATGTAGCCTCTAATAATGCGAGCGATTTGATCAGAAGCAAGTTGTTTTAAGACTGTAATTGTTTTGTGGATTAATCATTTGTTTTCTGTCGTTTACATTGAATTTTTTTGACAGTTTACATCCTATTTAATTGTCATAAGTTTATTTGAAAATTTAAAATAATATTTTTCTAAAGAAATATTTTATCTGTATATTTGAAAAGATGAGAAACACTAACATCGAATATCATGACGATTTTGTGAAGGAATAAAGATACGGATTGGTGAATGGTCTTTGTTTTTAGTTTATAAAACAAACATATGGTTATGGAAGTATTGGATTAAAATTTCAGCATAAAGAAAAATTTGAGAAGACACGAATTAAATGTAGGTACTGAAAAAAAGCATCATCCAAAAACTTAAATTCGTATTTAATTCTATAATTTGAGGTTGGCCAAGGTCGACCGATAGAAAATTTGTGATAAGTGAAATTTGTGAGGAGTGGTCCATCACTTTCTTCAAGGATGGTTAACTTTACTGTCGCCCAGATCCGCGAAGTTATGAACAAGCGTCATAACATTCGTAACCTTTCCGTTATTGCCCACGTCGATCACGGCAAGTCCACCCTTACAGACTCTTTAATTGCTCGTGCTGGTATCATTTCCCAGGAAAACGCTGGTGAAATGCGTTTCACAGATACACGCCCAGATGAACAGGAGCGTTGCATCACAATCAAGTCCACAGGTGTTTCCCTTTACTACACAATGCCAAAGGAAGACCTCCCAGAGGACAACGTAGACAATGGTTTCCTTATCAACCTTATCGACTCTCCAGGACACATCGACTTCTCCGCTGAAGTTACAGCAGCTCTTCGTGTTACAGATGGCGCTCTCGTCGTCGTCGACTGCATTGAAGGTGTTTGCGTCCAGACAGAAACAGTTCTTCGTCAGGCACTTTCTGAGCGTATCAAACCAGTCGTTATCATCAACAAGATCGACCGTTCCCTCCTCGAACTTAACGCTGAACCAGAAGATATGTACCAGACATACACAAAGTCAATCGATATGGTCAATGTTATCATCGCCACATACACAGATGAGAACGGCCCAATGGGTGACATTACAGTTTCCCCAGCTAAGGGCACAGTTGCCTTCGGCTCCGGTCTCCACTCCTTCGGCTTCACAGTCACAAAGTTCGCTAAGATCTACGCCGCTCGTTTCGGTGTTCCAGTCCAGAAGCTTATCCCACAGCTTTGGGGCGAGCGCTTCTACGATCCAATCTCAAAGTGCTTCATCTCCCACGCTACAAACGAGAAGGGCCAGGCTCTCGAGCGTTCCTTCTGCCAGTTCATCCTTAAGCCAATCGTTTCTCTCTCACGTGCAATCATGAACGGCGAAAAGGACAAGTACACAGACATGTTCAAGAAGCTCAATGTTAAGCTTCACGATGATGAAATCCACAAGGAAGGCCGTGAACTTCTTTCCGCTGTTTACCGCCGCTGGATCCCAATGTCTGAGGCTCTTCTTGAAATGATTGTCCTCCACCTTCCATCCCCAGTTAAGGCTCAGGCTTACCGTGCTGAGACACTCTACACAGGCCCACTCGATGATGCTTGCGCTAAGGCTATCCGCGCGTGCGATCCAAATGGCCCACTTATGCTCTACGTCTCTAAGATGGTTCCAACAACAGATAAGGGTCGTTTCTACGCTTTCGGCCGTGTCTTCTCCGGCACAGTCGCTACAGGCCAGCGTGTCCGCGTTATGGGCGCTAACTACATCCCAGGAGGCAAGGATGATATCCATGTCACAAACATCCAGCGTACAGTCCTCATGATGGGTCGTAAGGTCGAGAACCTCCAGGACTGCCCATGCGGCAACACAATCGGTCTTGTCGGTATCGATCAGTACCTCGTCAAGTCCGGCACAATTTCCGATCACGATGATGCTTGCCCAATCAAGGCCATGAAGTTCTCCGTTTCTCCAGTCGTTCGTGTCGCTGTCGAACCAAAGATCGCTCAGGATCTTCCAAAGCTTGTCGAAGGCCTCAACCGTCTCGCCAAGTCCGATCCATGCGTCCAGGTCACACACGAAGAAACAGGCGAACACATCATCGCTGGTGCTGGTGAACTTCACCTTGAAATCTGCCTTAAGGATCTTGAAGAAGACTTCGCTGGTGTCCCAATCACACGCTCACCACCAGTCGTTTCCTTCAGAGAAACAGTCCAGAAGCTCTCATCCTGCGTCTGCATGTCCAAGTCTGCTAACAAGCTCAACCGTCTCATGTGCCAGGCTGAACCAATCGCTGACAACCTTCTTAAGGCTATCGAAGCTGGTGATGTCAACCCACGTATGGATGTCAAGACACGTGCTAAGATCCTCCAGAACGACTTCGGTTGGGAACAGAACGATGCCCGCCGTGTCTGGTCTTTCGGCCCAGATTCCAGTGGTCCAAACCTTCTTGTCGATACAACAAAGTCCGCTGAATACCTTCAGGAAGTTAAGGAGCACTTCATCTCCTCCTTCCAGTGGGCTACAAAGCTCGGTGTTCTCGCTGAAGAACCACTCCGTGGTGTCCGCTTCAACGTCGTCGAAGTCTTCCTTCACGCCGATGCTGCTCACCGTAACGGTGGCCAGATGGTCCCAACAGGCCGTCGTGTTCTCTACGCTTCTGAGTACACAGCTGAACCAACACTCGTCGAACCAGTTTACCTTTGCGAAATCTCCGCTCCAATCTCCGTCTGCGGTGGTGTTCACGCCATCCTTTCCAAGCGCCGTGGCCGTGCTTTCGATCAGACACAGCGTGATGGCACCCCACTCATGAACATCAAGGCTTACCTTCCAGTTATGGAGTCTTTCGGCTTCGATAAGGACCTTCGTGGTGCCACATCCGGCCAGGCCTTCCCACAAATGATCTTCGACCACTGGGAACCACTCGAGGGTGATCCATTCCATGCTGGTAACGGCCTCTACGAAGCTATCAAGGTTGTCCGTAAGCGCAAGGGTCTTTCTGAGGAAGTTCCACCACTCGACCGCTACCTTGATAAGCTCTAAAGATTGCTGAACTTTATTTCTAAAAAATAGAGCCATTCATATCTTTTAATTACTAATCTTTTTAACTTTTTTCTTCTTATAATTTTAAATTTAAACCTTTGAACTTCCATTTACACTAGGTGTGATGACATTCCTTTTCTAGTAATCTCTTACTTTTAAATAAGCTTTGATATCTATATAGCTCTAATTCAAGATATTTTATCTTGGATTCTTTATTTATGTTCTTTTCTCTTCTTTATTGATAATAATTGTAAAAAGATATTATTTCACATGAATATTTATATTATATCTATCATTACATTTTTACTTTAACACATAAAAAAATTACAAATTTAAATATGATGAGGTGTTCCTTTGAAGGGACTATTTGAAGGAGGTTTCTGTTGTAACAGTTCTGCACCATTATCATAATGTCTCTGTTTTATCTCTCCGCTTTCATTTTTCAAGTTTCTCCACTTTCCTTTAATTTTGTGTTTTCTTTCTGGTTCTTTCGCCACAGGAGGAAGAATTTCCTGTCCTTCCTTGAACTCTCTCACTCCCACGTACTTCCTTCCCTCCTTCAGATCTTTCTCTCTCGACGCCAAAGTTGAGTGTCTGTATGCTCTCTGTCTTCCTCTATCTGTTGTGTGATAGTATAATTCTTCGACTGAATCTTCGCTGGAGTCTGTATCTGGTTCGTTCCAATGATGTTGGAATTCTTCAATTAATGGAGCAAAATCTACAATCATATCGACATCTCTGCATCTTACTGCAGGTAATGGCTCTGTTTTGAGTACGTAAAGCGGGTAGACAACATTTGCAAATGTAATTTCGATTGTGGAGCCTTGAGTTAAACATGGATAATTTCGGAGTTCGCGCTCGAGAACAATTCGTGGTTCTTTGATGTTTTCTGCGAATTGTTTGGTTTTTGGTTGTAATACTGTTCGCGTTGCTGCTGGTAATTCGACAGTTGAAATCTGTACTGTGTCTCCCTCATCGACACCGATCTTCGCCATGATCCAATATGGAACTATTACAGTGCCTTGATCTGCAGTGAACTCTCGCTCTACGGCATAAGCGCTTTCTTGCGTTCTTGGATTTGTGATTTTGAATGTAATCATTTGATTTTCCATCATTTGTTGATTAAGCATTGCAGTTTCCACGATAACATAGCTTGTTTGATTCAAATCTTCTTTCATTTTGTAGGTAGCAGAGAAGATTTTTCTTGAATACATTTTTTTGAGAAGTGATTCCACTCTCAATTTTGAACTTTTTTAAAAAATAAATAGAAAAATAATATTATGATATATTAAAAACCCTATATCCATCGTTTATTTGGCGATAATTTTTTTGTAAAGTGTCAAAAATTTTTTGACATTCGCACTTTTTCAGGTTCGTATATATATTGACATCAATATTTTCCCCAAAAAAATCGAAAAATAATTGTGTACCTGCACGGTGAAAAGAATAGAAATAATTCAAATAGTATTGAAAATTAATTATTGAAAATTTACGAAAATTTCAATAAAATCATTTTTCTGCTTTAATTACATGCATTATACCATTTTTAAATCGATAGATTCATTTTTAAATTATGAATTTACATATTTTACATAGTGATATTCTAGAAATTATAGAATTATATAATAAAAAAAATTATACTTTGCGTATACGAGTTTGCTATGAGGAATGATGTTTTAAAGAATGAGTAAAGCTATATCTAAAGTAACAATGATTTTTTGTTTTTTGTGATACATTTTTAAATTTGCAATCACAATTTATGGCCAATCTTGTACCCACATATATACATTATAATAAGAATTATATGTAAGGTGTACACTCCTTATTTATTGAAACAAACAAAAATTGTTATTTGCTTTTTTCGAATTACATTATGTTTAAGTTATAAAACGAACTTATAATAGTATGAATATACATTTCCACTTCTTTTGAAGATAGATTTATATTCAATACAGATTATTATCTCATTATTCTTATTTTTTGGTTAAAGTAGATTTATTATTAGACATTCAGCATATATGACACATATTATTACATATTACATCTGTGTTAATCACAAATCGATTATAAGAGGCAAAATCACATTTGGATGTTAATGAGTATAGATATTTTACCAATCTAACACCGTTTTTTGCTAACATATAACAATGAAAATTTTAGTACTGATATTTATTATTGACAATTAACTAAATTTATGAAAATTCAAATATTATATTTTGCTTCACTAAATAGAATTCTTAATTAGTGACAGATATTACTTCTCAGTCTGGCACTTACTCTAACTCTTGAATGTTATCTGCTCACACCTCAAAACCAGAGTGGAGGCACTTCTTTTTTTTGACAAAAATTTTTCCTTCACTCATTTCTAAGTTTTATTTGTTTTCTGAATAATTAGAACCTACATGATATGCAAATACATTTTGTTCTGAAAAAATTCTTGGAATGCCCAAAATCTAATTCAATTGGAAATTTTTATTGGTATATCGTTATTTTTTGCAGATGACCATAATAACGTTAAGCAAAAATGCCATTTTAGAACATATAACCTATTGAATTCTATCAATTTTGATAAGTAAAGTTCTGTGAATTCGAAAATTCAACCTCATCTTATCACACGATGGTAATAGGTTGGTCAAGAGGAACTTTGAATAGTTGTAATGCTTTAAAATGTAAATTGACAAATACTGAAGGAATAATTTTACTTTTTAATTCTCAAGTTACATTAACAAATTGCGCCATTTTACAACACGAAAGCTCTGTATATTTCTATATAATTAAAATTTCTTCTTTAACGCTTATAAAATGCGCTATAGATTGTGATTCAACCGGATTTGATTTGAATGTGATTCATTGAATTTCAATTCAAGAAAGGAGTTTACAAATGCAGGGTATTGTTCCTTTACCCTGCATTTGTAAACTTCTTTTTTAAAAAACTTTACTTTAAAACTTTTTAAATCTACTCATTTTCCACTTTTAAATATAAATAATCATACTTTATCTTTCTTAAATTTCTCTAATCCTTAATTTTCTTATCAAATTTGTTATTTTTTATCTTATATTTCAAAATTAACCCTTTTAGTGTGGTCGCATTCTCGCTTCACTCGAATGCAGATGAGCCAAAAATTTTACAGCGTAATCAAATACTCTTTGAAATATTATTATATCAATGAATGCTTATAAATGTTAAAATTATCAATGTTCATACAAATAAATGTATAAGTAGTATAAATATTTTAGTATTTTATCAATCGCTGCTTCTTATATCTAATATTTCTAACTTTATTTACTAAATTTCTTTCAATATTAATTATAAACATAAATCATTTTAACAACTTCATATAAAACACATGTGTGACCTCACTCATATATAAATGCTTATATTTATCCAACTATGATAAATATGGTTTTTTTATACTATGTTTCATCTTGTGCGTATGAATTATGATCTTCCCTTGGATGAGTTCTGATCACTGCCTAATATTCAACAAAAAATAATTTTTCCTATAACTATTTGTTTAATTTGAAAAAAAAATTGAGAGCTTTCGTTTCAAATTTTGTCACTTTTGAACTGATACTCGTGCAAAAAAATCGCTATATGTATTGAATCAGTGGAAAGGCTTCACTATTTTTTTATTTCTAATAAAATGCATCATCTTCTTCAGTTTCTGTATTATCATTCCATTCTGCAATATCAAGTGCGGTTTGTCCATTTTTATTTTTTTCATTGATATTCGCACCGTGTGAAATGAGAACTTCAGCAGTTTTTTTACTATTTTGCATTGCTGCAATATGAAGTGCGGTTTCTCCAGCTTCATCTTTTTCATTGATATTCGCACCATGTAAAATGAGAACTTCAGCAGTTTCTTTATTATTATACATTGCTGCATAATGAAGTGCGGTTTCTCCAGCCTTATTTTTTTCATTGATATTCGCACCATGTAAAATGAGAACTTCAGCAGTTTCTTTATTATTATGCATTGCTGCAATATGAAGTGTTGTTTGTCCATTTTTATTTTTGTCATTGATATTTGCACCATGTGAAAGGAGGTATTTCAAAAAAGATGGAATATTAAACATCGGTGAACAAACAAAGCATTTGTTTATATCATTGGTTTGATCGAAATAAACTAAAAAGGATTCAATATTGTTGTAATTTCCGCAATCAATTAAATCGATCTCTAAATTGTATTCATTCATCAAGAATGTAACAAAATCAATGTTGTGTGAAATAATTGCATATTCCATGCATTTATAATTTGGTTTTTGATATTTCAAACATTCACTCATGATCTCATTGTTTCTTCCTAAAAATGAAAATTCTAGACATTTTTCAGTTATTTCTGAGCTGAATTTTGTTCTTAAAAACTTGAAACAATCAACTGCACCGTAATAACAACATAATTCAAGTAATGAATATCCTTTGTAATGAGATGGGTATAAATTGCTTTCAAGTTTTTGATTTTTATTAAATCCTTCTCTCTCCGTAAAAAAAGATGAATCTTTCGAGGTCATTATTCATAATCGATCTGTATATTGTATTTTCCGTAAGAATTTACAGATTTTTAGATTTGTATTTTTCGAAATTATCAAAATCGCCTAATTTAATTCCATATTCTTTATAAAACATGAATTTTGAAACATCACTGACATTGTTGACCGTTTTAACGTGATATTCATCAGATATGAGTTTGGCAAGAGATAAATATGACTTTGTATAGCGATTTTTAAACGGAATGATATTTAAAATGTCTCTTATCATATTTCGGGGAGGATATTTATTTGAATCAAACAATTCTGTTTTAATATTTTTGTAAATCGAGTTTAATTCTTCTTCTTTTTCCGTTTTCATCTGATACAACGCATTGAATATATCAATATAGTATTTGTACTTACTTCTCCATTCACTGTACTTGATTGGATGAACGTCTTGATCGGACATTAATAATTTTTATAAAGGACATTTTTGCGTTTTACCATATGACATACTACTTAAATTCACTAAAAGAAAAAAAATACTATGTTAGACATGTGGAAAACAATGACAACAAAGATTTCGGATATAAATTATGAATTTTGTTTAAGTTTATTGATAAGGAACGACATAACAACAATATAAAAGTCTAGAGCAATAGGATTGTCATCCAGATGCTTATATTATCAAGATTTTTTTGTCAATCACTCCAAATTACTCAATTTTATGAACATATGTCAAGCATCACGCATAATTAATCATAGTATTTTTTATTTTCAAAAATATACTTTTAATTGGCCAAAAATTGAAAATTTTTAATTTCTCTAGTTGATGGCCAGAATCAATATAGAGTTCATATACAAAAAGTGAAACTACAATGGTGTGGAAAAAATATCAAAGTTCACCACTTAATCTCTCTCTCTATAAATTGATACTGAGATAATGATTTAATTTATAATTGAAGTAGAATCAAAAGGTATTAGCATTCATGGTGTAATTGGTAGAAGAATTCCGTCATACGAAGGGCATTAATAAGTGATACCTTGATATAGAATCTAAGAGAAATATCATTAATTTAATCAGTATTGCACTGGTATTGGGCATTTCTAATTATTTCATACAATAAAAGACATTAAATACGCCTAAATATCAAGGAAAGCATCTTCCATGGTTGAGATACGTAATGTTTTATTCAATAGTTTGCTTCGGGCTTTTATCTGATATTTTTTTTCACTTCTTTTCTTTAAGCATGATTTGAGCAAAGTCAAATATGTATCTTGCTAAAAATCAAACTCAAAGTACATTTGAATTGATCTGCGTTTAATACGGTCAATCACTAGATCTTAAGGCTTTGTAAGAATTCGATTTCAGTGATTTTATTTTATTAGAATTCTCAATGATTGAAAAATGAATGTAAAACAATTTCATTTGCATTCATTAACGAGATTATATAGGAACTTCTCCTATCATTGGCAAACTAATAAATTGTCTTTTTTCATTAACAATATGTCTTTCATATCTTACATGTTCATTTTTTGGGTTCATTTCAAAAATATATCACTCAATATTCATCAAAGAGGAGAATAGGCTCCAAAGCTGGTACTAAAACACAAGCATGAAGACATAGAATTTATTCAAATTTAGATCAAAATTCATATGAAAAACATCAATGTTTTCTCTTTGTTCATTTCTCTCATAATGTGAGTATGTATGCACATGTTTTGAGTTTTAATACACATAATAAATGCAACATCATGTAAAGAAACAGTATTTCTAAATTTCATTAATTCACATTGCTTGTTAGAGTCAAAACAAATAACCAAAAAAAAAAAAAAAAAAAAAAAAAAAAGGAAGTGGGGCTTCCAGGCACTTCGTGCCCTCTAGCCCCGAAGATGTTTAGTATAAATGAAGTTTTTATTCGGAGGGCTTCCAGGAGCTTTTCACAAAATATATATGTTTTCATGTTTTGTCACTTTTCTGTCACTTTTCAGGTAAAAACATTTTTATTATTATATATAAATGAATTTTACAAAACCACCGTTACCCTTCTTTGGAAATAAGAGTAGATGTAAAGATATTATATTGAGAGAACTTAAGAAACTACCGAATGGTCTAACATTTGTAGATTTGTTCGGTGGAAGTTTCTATATGTCCCATTTATGTCATACCGTATTCCCAGACTCAAAGATTATATGCAATGACTTCGACAACTATATGGACCGTCTCAAACATATTCCAGACACAAACAATATATTGAAAGAGTTAAAAGAAAAGATACCTATAGGCAAGATGGAACGTATACCATTAGATAAGAAAAATATTGTGAGAGAGGTTTTGAAAAAAGCAGAATATATAGACTGGGATAGTATATCTGCTAGACTATTATATAGTGGTGCTATAAGAGTTCATGACATTGAAACACTTATGTCAAAAGTTTTATATCTTAACTATACAAATGTTTTCAAAAAGAACATAGAAAAATATATTGAGGGTATAGAGTTTGTGAGATGTCATTGGACAGAGTTGTATGAAAAATATAAAGACAAGGAAAATGTTTTCTTTATAGTGGACCCGCCGTTCTATAACACATGGGATTTTCAATACCAAGTAGACTGGACTTTGAGAGACTCTTTAGAAACTTTAGACGTTATACATAACCATCCATGCTTTTACTTTACATCCGATAAAAGTGGTTTGGAAACCGTTATGAGATGGTTAGAGGACATACATGACTATGAGTTTAGATATGACAAGATTCTTATATACGAAAAAAAGAGATCTGACATTGTGTCAGATCTCAGTAAAAGTGACATTTACATGTCAAAAAAATAGAATGAGTTTAAGTAATTAAAATTGAGGGTGAGAGTAGTATTGTATGAAATAATATCTCTCGCCCTCCAATTCATCCTATGGCGCCGAAAAAATTTTGGTGAAATGCGACCACATTTCACCAAAATTTCTCGGCGCCATATAGAGAACTAGAGCCTGTGAGGTACTGATACTATCCATGTACCTCGCAGGCTCTAGTTCCAAGCCAAAATGGCTAAAAATTGCCCGCAATTGTTCACATTGCGGGCAATTTTTAGCCATTTTGGCTGGGAATTGGAGGGTGAGAGTAGTATTGTATGAAATAATATCTCTCACCCTCCAATTCATCCTATGGCGCCGAAAAAATTTTGGTGAAATGCGACCACATTTCACCAAAATTTCTCGGCGCCATATAGAGAACTAGAGCCTGTGAGGTACTGATACTATCCATGTACCTCGCAGGCTCTAGTTCCAAGCCAAAATGGCTAAAAATTGCCCGCAATTGTTCACATTGCGGGCAATTTTTAGCCATTTTGGCTGGGAATTGGAGGGTGAGAGTAGTATTGTATGAAATAATATCTCTCACCCTCCAATTCATCCTATGGCGCCGAAAAAATTTTGGTGAAATGCGACCACATTTCACCAAAATTTCTCGGCGCCATATAGAGAACTAGAGCCTGTGAGGTACTGATACTATCCATGTACCTCGCAGGCTCTAGTTCCAAGCCAAAATGGCTAAAAATTGCCCGCAATTGTTCACATTGCGGGCAATTTTTAGCCATTTTGGCTGGGAATTGGAGGGTGAGGGTAGTATTGTATGAAATAATATCTCTCACCCTCCAATTCATCCTATGGCGCCGAAAAAATTTTGGTGAAATGCGACCACATTTCACCAAAATTTCTCGGCGCCATATAGAGAACTAGAGCCTGTGAGGTACTGATACTATCCATGTACCTCGCAGGCTCTAGTTCCAAGCCAAAATGGCTAAAAATTGCCCGCAATTGTTCACATTGCGGGCAATTTTTAGCCATTTTGGCTGGGAATTGGAGGGTGAGAGTAGTATTGTATGAAATAATATCTCTCACCCTCCAATTCATCCTATGGCGCCGAAAAAATTTTGGTGAAATGCGACCACATTTCACCAAAATTTCTCGGCGCCATATAGAGAACTAGAGCCTGTGAGGTACTGATACTATCCATGTACCTCGCAGGCTCTAGTTCCAAGCCAAAATGGCTAAAAATTGCCCGCAATTGTTCACATTGCGGGCAATTTTTAGCCATTTTGGCTGGGAATTGGAGGGTGAGAGTAGTATTGTATGAAATAATATCTCTCACCCTCCAATTCATCCTATGGCGCCGAAAAAATTTTGGTGAAATGCGACCACATTTCACCAAAATTTCTCGGCGCCATATAGAGAACTAGAGCCTGTGAGGTACTGATACTATCCATGTACCTCGCAGGCTCTAGTTCCAAGCCAAAATGGCTAAAAATTGCCCGCAATTGTTCACATTCCCATCTTTTGTTGGTAAGACGAAGAATATGAAATAAATTATGAAGAAGATAATGATGAATAAAATATCACTTTTTATATTTTTGACACGTAAAGTTGTCACTTTTCTGTCAAACTGTTTTTATCGTTTTCGTATATAACAAGATAGAATATGAGAGAGGTCCTATAAACCGGAGAAAGTGTCATAACAAAGAAATTTTATTGGTAAGTAAATGTGGTTTGAAATAGGACTACTTGTTTTAGGTTTTTTCCATTGTGTCATTTATTTATTTGACGTGGCAGAAAAGTACAGAGAATATGAAGATGAACCAATGCCTGCAAATGTTCAGTATATGTACTCGTAAGAGATATTTTTATCTAATATTAAATGGACGCACAGAACTTAGCGAATGCACAGCAACCTGGACAACCAAACCCAGAGAATATTCCAAATGAAGTTAGAATACAAACTGCAATGGCAAACTATGGTCAAGTGCCAACAGATGTACAAATGCAAACTGCCATGTCAAATGACGCTGCGTTAGGTTTGCCACCATGGTATGCAAATATGAGATGGAAAGAGTTTTATACAAACCCTGAAGTGGGATATAAACAACTTTATGCAGATGACGCGAACACAGGAGTTGACCCAGAATATGTTTTCTACCAGAGGAGAAACAGAATGTATGAGCTCCAGTTAAAGAATGCTATGGAACTCAACAGGAAACGTAAGAGACTAGGCGGACATTAGATTTTTACTACTAGTAAAATGGGTTTCTTCAGTAGTATTGGAAACTTCTTCAGAAGAGTTGGAAGAGGTATATGGAATGGAATAAAATCTGTCGGAAAAGGAATTTGGAACGGTGTCAAAAATATTGGTAAAAGAGTAGGTCAGTTCGTTGGTCTTATACCTAAAGACCCTGAACCAGAAGAACAAGCTCCTGTTATACAACAGCCTGAACCTGCACCACAGTCTAGTTGGCAACCAAATCCAACACCTCAACCGTATTAAAAAATTATATTTTTACCGTTCGATAGTAGTTGTATATGAAACTAAGTTCTAAGTAAAACGCATGGTATAATGGAATTATTCTTTTTCTTCCATCTGTAGTAAACCATACTTGAAAGTCTGAAATACTTCCACTTGGTGGTTCGTATAACTTTGTAGG